CAATCTGAACACGTCTTACAATAACACAATAATAATATTACATAATGTTGAAATACTTGTACAAGGTGATCCTTAAGTTACGGTCGACAAGATGTTATTTGTTCATTGAAATATTTTAATTTTAAAATATATCATATACTTTTTTTTTATAGAATTTCCTATGTAAATATTTATCGAAAACGAATAATTTCATACATCTCAATAACGGGTACTTCTGAATTATTGGTAACTTTATATCCTATGGTTCATAGATAATGGAATGAATCGCATTTAATTTAAATTAAAAACTTAAAAACGAGAGCATGATGTCTATGTATGTATAAAAAAAAAAAACAGTTTTAATTTTCAGAAAACGCTATATTGTCAAGATAAAGACAATCTTTTAAATATTCAATAAAAAAATCTAAGCACTTAAAATTCTAAAAATCAAAATTCAAGTATAAAAACGTGCCGCCCAAAAAAAATCACCCTGTATATTATATAAGTGTATAAATATTTATATATATATATATATATATATTATGTCTTACGTACGTACAATTGTAGTTTTGTTTTTCTAATCCAAAGTTAAATTCTATTCGTTTTGTCCTGTTCCCCGTCCCGGAAAGAGTGGGCCGCTTCTCTACATCCGCCGCGTGACACTCGTATGCTAGTGGATTTTTTTACTGTCTCGTTTCGTTTTCACGCGATCATATAATAATGATAAATGATAATATTATCATATACGCGTATGTTGTCATCTTTGCCTAACAAGCCACGTGCGTCGAACACATAAAATGAAGGTAATATATCATTACATAATACTATGGGTGTAAAGTGTCGCACTTTAGGTATTATTTTATACTTGTATAAACATTGCAATTGATGTTATATTGTGTTAAAATTAAGTTATAATAACTATTATAGCAAATATAAAGTCCCATATACAAGTATTTTAATTTTTAAGCTTCTGCGAGTTTTAATAAATTTAATTCTACAAAATGTGCGTGTTTCGTATAATATATTAAAAGTCGTTCGAATTTTCGATATTGACTTTAAACTAAATCAAAGACTTATTTTATACATAATAGTTATACTGGTGTCTTATCATCATTTTCTCTTATCAGTTTCAGAGTTCCTTTTAGTTTTAACCGCTTTATTTAATCTATGGTTTATTATAATATATATCCTATTGTTTTAAGCTAACGATTAAAGTTCTGATGAATCAGTTTTATTTTCGAGAATTAATGTATTATATCCTTGATTAATTGGATGCAAATAAATTCTTCGATTTGATACTCCACAACTGTCCAATGTCCATCTTAACATATAAATATTTAACATTATTCGAGGAACGTGAGACAATAAATTTAATAACGGCACTATGGTTTCACCATCATAAATTTTATCCTCACTTCAATTGCACAAATAATAGGTAAAATTCTCTGGTGGGAGAAATTTTAATTTTTTAAATATTACTGTAGAATTATACCTGTAGAAAAAAGTCAGGAAAAAGTAAAAAAAAAAAGATACATGCATTTATATATTATAATATTATATTATTGTACATCGCTTGCTTGAGGAGCTTGTTAAAATTTTAGGTTGACTAAGCTCTACAAGCCTATCCTTTTTTTTGAAACTTTAACTCGAGAACTATCCAGAAGACTCTAGAACGAAATCTGATTATTCGTTAGCATAATATTATGCAAGACGGGGCACTAAAACGGCTGATTTTAAAAACAGATTTTCTCAATAGTTATTAAGATAAGAATCGTCACTAAATATTATTAGTTCAAAGACAATATGTAATTTAGTAAACACGGAACAGTGGATTGGTGAAAAACGTGCTTTTGCAATAAAATTGTACTATAAAAATAATGGCAGTTACGTAGCTACACAGCGTTCATTTCGTTTTCATCTTAATCTTAAACGCCATGATTCTAGATCATTGGTTAAGGACGATTTAAAAAGTGAAATCTATGCATAGAAACCTCGAAATATTTATGAAATATAAAATAAAATTATGAAAAAATCGTCAGTACACCTCTGGAAAATATACGAATTAGGCTAGATGAGTAGTGCTTGAAAAGAGATGGTCATCATTTCGAGGAAATTATTTTTAAAAATAAATACCAAGTTATGTAGTTCATTATAATAAGTAGTAATTTATTTTTACTCGTTTTTTTTTTTATTTTTGAAAGTTGAACATTTTAGTGCCACACCCTGTAAATTTTAAAGACAAGTCTTTTACTGCTAAATCGTTAAGTTGTAGTGTTTATACTTACGCTATTTTGATTTAAAACATGCCGATATGTATAAAAATATTAGTTCTCATATGTTTTCGATTTTCTCTTTGATTAGCGCGCATTGGAAATTTGAAGAAGTTGTAATAATATTATAGGTATAGCTGCGTTTACATAACCTGTAGTGAATAGTACAAATATTCTCGTTCAATTAGTATATTTTATGATGTGAATGATTACTCATTTTATTATCATTATAGGTAAGTAGGTAATAATAGTATTAATATGTGCTTTAATTAGAATTCATGTTATTGTAATGTATGATTAAAATGGCGTATTGATCAAGTTTATCTATAGTTGTTTTAATTATAAAACTAGAAATTTAAAATGTTTTACCTATTATGAAGCGTGTTTCATATCACGGAACTTAAACGATCGGTGTGAAGGGTTTTGAAAGGGAAATGATTTTCTCAACTAAAGTTAACTGTCGAACGCAATATAATTTATAAAGTATATTTCCGAAGTTTATGACAATTTGTAGGGAGTTTAAGTATGTTATGCAAAATCGTTATTGTTGCACACAATGTATAGGTCATCTGATTGGAGTCTGAGTAAATCGACTGCATCGTGGGTCCAAATTTTCAAGTAATAAATAATAATATTATACCATTTAGCGTTTAATATTATTACTGTCGTCAACATCATTATTATACAATAAGTGGTGTTATACTCGCGGTCATTATCTTCGTTTGTTTCATCTCACTCTACCTATATATCATAAAGAAATATAATGTATATATATATATAAGATATAACAATGATACGAGTAAAAAACGTTCGTACTACTTACATTAACATAATAAACGTATAGACTATCCAACACGGTAATATATAATTATTATTTCATACGATATAATATATTGTACTGATATCGTCAGCACGAATATCCGGCTCCGTATTACACGAACGTACGATGTTGCGAGAGCGGTCACGACTAGACAAATTAAAGACAAAATTACTGGGTGACAACTCAAGGTGACGATGATCAAAAGGTCTTTATTTGTTGAGAGTAAATAAAAAAAAATCATCTGCATGACATAAGCATGACCTGCATCTGCTGGCAACGACCGCGGTGGAGATATAAGCCCTTCTATACATTATAATATTTTTAAATACTAAACAAAAAAAAAAAAATAAACTCGTCGTCCATGGATTACTTGTTTTCCGGAACCGCCACGATTGTAGATGCATGCGAGACGTGCACTTAACTACTCGATTTACACGATACATTTCCGATGTACCCATAAACAGTGTATTGAACGACGGCACATCAACACTATTATTATATCTAAGACATACGAAATTTTTAAGGGAGATGTTAGAGTATAGCGATGCGCATCGGCTTAATATCGAGCGTTTAATGAGTTACATATTGTGCAGCATAGAGATCAGTGAAACGTAACAATCCAAATTGAACTTTCCTTTTTGATTTTACTTACGTTTTTTTTCCGAACAAATGGCTTAAATTTATCTCTTATTTATATTATACTTAATACAATAATATATAACGTATTGGACCATTGGCAGTGTTATGCAATACGACTCTGACCAGTGGATTACAAAGAGAAGGTGAAGGTGCGACGCTATTCTTGGTCCCGGTTCAAAAGAAAAAAAGATATACCAATCGATTTAATATTGTAGTTTTCAAATAAAGTTTTTTTTTTAAAACTATAACTTTTGTTAAAATTGAAGGGTTAGAATAAAAAAAATAATATTAATAAGCATAAATCCGTTGCTGTTTGCCGTTATGCATTAAACAAAAAACGATGATATTAAGTAAAATAAGTCGTGCGGCATAGTAAATGCCGCCAATGGCTTAGCACATACATATTGTCATAACTATTCATAAGCCGGAAATAGGACTTAAATTATTGAACGAGTTATATATCATGTTGCTTTTAAAATTTTAATAGTTTCTTTTTTGGCTTTTCTATTATCGTATTACTTAAAATTTAATCGAAAATGACGTATTAGTATGAATAAACAAACACATATCTATTTATTTAAAACCGGGAATAATCAAAAACCTAATAATAACGAACACGCGGTGTACATTTGGGAAAAAATGCGAACTTGTTAAATATTATTTTGATCGATATCGCCGTACTAATTTCACGTGATAATCTATACTACTGTTATAACTGTAATGGCCGTAATGATAATTATTATAATTTAAAAAAACAAAACCTGTTGTTGTACAGTTGTCGTAGAGAAGCGCATGCGCTCATCAGAATAAATAGTTCGCTTCTAGAACATCGTGGTTTTGACGTAGGTACACCTATGCTATAATATAACATTATTATCATAACAATAATTATACACGGGGTTTATTATTTACACACACACACACACACATATATACAATTTATAACCGTAAGGAAGGTAATATTATGTACCTTCTCAGAGAAGTGTAAAATTTATATTTTACATATTATTATACTTATGTGCACGTGGGCTCTACGCTGTCTACGCGCGGTCTAGAAGCCAATACGCGTTATTATGTCACCTTTTATCTGCGGGCCGCGATTAAGACGAGTTTTCGTTTCTCTTTCCTCTTTCAATTGCTAAATAATATATCACTATTATTATTACTATTATTACAGTGTATTACTGTTCTCCTTATCTCCGCCGCCACGCCTCGTCGTCCGCCGACGCATCGTCCGCACTGCACATAGTGATATACTAATATAATATGATATGCGCGCCAAAGCTGCTGCTGTTGCTGCTGTTGTCGTCGTCGTCGTCGACACACGACTGCCGGCCGACATTACCAGCGGAACGAAAAGCGCGAGTCTGCAGTCCGTCCGTCCGTTCGTTGGCGATAACGACTCAAACTCGATACAAAATCATAGTGTGTGATATTGATTTGAGTTCCATTCCGCGGTTTTTCTTATCGTTTTTATATATTTTTATATTATCATTTTTTTTTTTTTTTCTTAATTGTTGTTATCATTTAATTTTCGACTTTTTACTCTTACCGTCGCGATGTACGCCGTACCCGTATCATAACAACTATCCGTGCGATTTTCCACGTAAACCCTCTACAGGATCTTATCTTCCGGGGTCGGACTCGCCACCGCATCGACGCGCTCCTCACCGTTGTGTAAATCACAAACTGCGTTAGTGTCGGGGGCGATGGTCTGGCCGAACCCGTACACAATAAAATGATCGGTAGATGGTTCGTCGGGTTCGCCGTGTTCGTGGGCTACCTGTGTCTGGGCGCATTCGTGTTCTACCGAATCGAGCGCAAGGAAGAGGAGAAAAGGCATTACTTGGAGATTTTGGAACGGCTCGAGCTCAAAGGTGAGACGTACGTGTGTATTGTACTGTTTATGGTGTACACGAGACTTGCACGTGCTAGTCAGGAGTTTTGAACAAATTTTTCCGTGAGATGTTTAGGACTTAACGCCAAAATCGCACATGCAGGCCTCTGTGGTATAGTAACCGTATATATACGATATGATAGTCGGCATTTTTGCAACGATGTGTACGTATTAAGAATTTAAGGCGGGTAGGTGTAGATCATAACAATATTCCCAAAACATTGATTTAAAACAAACTCTTACAGCAGGCATACGTATAGCGTATATACAACCCTCCACGTTCATCGAAAGGCCAAGATAATTGAATTTTCAAATGATGTTTAACCATAAAGTGCAGCACAGTACTATTTCGATAACATATAACATATTTTTTTTTACCTCTCTAGTTTTTCAACGAACCCTGTGTGAAAAATACTAGTAACTAGGTACATAAAATATTATTATACATTTTAAATAGTGATAATATTTATTAATTATGATAAAATTTGTGTAAGTTAGTTTCCATATCTAATCGCAGTCTTAGTTTAGTTAGTAAAACTTAAAAATAACAATAAATATCTATATTTAATAAAATTGAACGTATTTGTATCCTTCCACAATCTGGATTCGATGTAATACAGTTATAGCTGTAACAATAATACTTTGACCAGTTAACTGCATTGAAATTTAATTTTAATCTAAAGTTCATAACTTAATATTCATTATTAAAATTATTAAATATAAAATTTATAATTTTATATATATTGCAGAGTTTTCACACATACAATATTACTTATAATATTTAATCAGATTAACAATAATTTTTGCCTGTGCATTTTATATTTATTTTTTGTTGATAAAAATAATACCAGACATGCAAACATTTTATCATTGATTAAATGAATTACCACGGTTTAAAAAATGTTTTCGATTTTCGAGCTAATCACGTAGGTATTAATTGCGTTAAGGGGATTTTCTAAAACGCGGAGTTTAATAGATGAAAATCTAATTACATTAGTATTTGCACTGATAATTACCTGTTGATGAAAAGGTTTAAATATTATAGGTTGAAAATAAAAAATTAGTTTTAAGTAAATTCGTAGAAACTAAAATATAAGTAAATGAAAACTAATTCTACAATTTAAACTGTCGCTTAATATTTTGAGTAGAATAAAAAAATCTCGACTTCAAAAAAAAAAATATTTCGAATATCTCAAATGAGTTAAATGCGAATAAGGGCGCTGTTTTTTTTTAGAAATGGGAGAGTTTTGATTTAAATCCCACCCTTTTGTTAAATATGCCCCCTTCCCCAGAATCATATATCACTCTTATCAAAAATAATGACAATATATTTTTATTATCAAGAAATATTAATTGTATAATAAATATACCAATATTTTCTCTGCTAAAAACCATATTTTGCACGTACAAAACGTATGTACACGTCTTGCCAATGATTTTCAACTGACTACTCATAAATATATTATAATATGATACTATTAACTGTTAATCCGACCAATATTATTCGTCCGACCGATCGAGTAAATTGTATTATGAATGCAATGCAATTTACGGAAAAATTGTATGTATGTTTAACCTGTTGATTCACCACGTGTATTTACTATATAAACGCAATTGGTAAATTCCTATAAGACTCACTCGTTTTCCTGTCAGTATCTACTATGGTTTTGTCTTTCTGAAAACTCAATTCATAATTTTTTATTTGCCAAGAATTATTAGTGAATAATTAAGTATGATAAACATCAATGCTCGTTTGCGACCAAACGGATATAATGTTGTTTATATTATACATACCTATAATATTCTATGACGATGTACGTCAATAAATTTAACCTATTGTATACATTAGTATTACATAATATAGTATTTAATATTTATCGTTAATACACTAAAATCAATTTTAATACAAAATCATATACATGATATACGTAAATCGCTGCAATTTACTTCATAATTCAAGTAAGTTGTAAGTAGGTAGGGCAGCTGTAATTTTAATTTAGAATAATCGGTTAACATTATCGTATATTCATTTACCAGTATACCATATAATAATATACATTGTGAAGTGTTATTGACGTTAGATGTAAATATCACAAATCGGTTAATAACATACGTAAAATAAGTTTAGGTACCTACATTTGTTTTAACTTTTAAGTACGATAATAATATAATGTTAGCCATTAGACCAGTGCACCATTTATTATTTTTGTAGCGTTTTAACAATGTGTCTACTCACAGTTTTTAATATTTTTAAGAAATCCAGTTAAATTGTCAAACGGCTGACGCGCACAAAAACACAATTATTATATTATATTTGTTGCGGGTAGAACTCGTTTGTAAACATTTTCAACTCGTTTTCATGTCTGAGCAATGTACTATACATTATATTATACACGTATTTATTAAACTGTACGATGGTGACGAGTTGGAAATCAAGTCAATTAGGTACGCGCACAACCGCACAACTCTTCAGTGCTACAGTGTACGTCCCCGCGTTTTATATGGACATAAAATATTAATTATTATTGTGTGTGCTGTATACTGGGTGATTTTTTTATCAGTTAACACTCATTATCCGACAAGTATCTACTAAAGTTTTTAAAAATATCTTTTTGCATAATTAACAGAATCATGACAAATGAACGTATTCTTGAGAGAAAATTTTATTCTTGAAGTGTTTTATTTATTTAATCTAGAACGTGATGTTTAGTTATATACATACAAGAAAACTGCTTACTTAATACTCTAATGTTCTTTAGAGAATTTCTAAGTTAAATATCGAAGTAGTAAATTAAATATTAGTTATAACTGTTTTAAGGTATTCAAAGTCTAGATAACAAGAGTGGAGTGGCATAGTGGTACATCTAAAAAAATGTTGGTCTTCTACTACGCTAATAGAATAAACTTTAATTAAAAAAAAAATCTAAATTATATTGTTAGTTATAATTAGTATAAGCTGCTGTCTGCTCATTTAAAATTCGATTTTTTAACATGAAAATTTTCAAAAAAATATTTTCCCATGGAATGTATAATTAAAAAATGTACATTGTCATTTTAATAAGTAAAAAGATGAGATAAGATAAAATTAGTAAACATATTTATTGGTAAAACTTGGTAAAAAATCATCAAAATGTTTTTCAAAAGTTTTTGGATGCAACCGATAGAACTGAAAACAAATTCACAAACATAGGTTACATTCACATATATTTAACTTGATTTTTCTTGGGATCTAACCAAATCTTAAAATGTTTTCACTTTGACGTGTAATAGTTAAATAATATTAATTTCTTTAACAATAGTATATCTATTACCTAGCGCTATAGTGGCTGTGTGCGTTTGTGGTTACACTTTTAATTGTTACAATATTGCTCTGATAACATGAATTTTTTACATAATAATTGACTCACTGATAAAATGATTAAATTCACCAAAACCCATTTTGTTTGTTGATTGACAAATGTTTACTTGTGTTACCTGTTCAATTTATTTTATCGTCAGAAAATTTTAAAATTCAAATGTATCTTCAATATATTATGAAAAATTATTGTTGCGATATTATTTTTAATATTATTATTATTGCTTATTAGTTATTAATATTATTACTCAGATGTTATGTAAAAACTATATTCGTTTTTTTTTTTTTTTTATAATTTTTATTGTTTGGTTGTAAACACACTGTCGTCAAATGCCCTCAATATAAACGACGACCGCAATGTACAAGAAACTAATAGCGAGTTTGAAAGAAATACGACAGTCGCCATTTATTATAAAAACTAAGAAATTATAAATGTTTTCAAGAATTATGTATTTTTTACTAATTTATTTGGTATTTAGATGATACTTACTATTCATCTAAATTATTTGCAATAGCATAATAATAATAATTATAACTATATTATAATTCATCTTCGAATGGACGAATTACCATTTTCAAACATACTCGTCTCGACAAAGGAGTAATAATAACATTGTAAATATTTCATAATCATCGTGTAAACATTATATTATAATATGCGTTTATAACATTTTATATTATATTTTATATGTTATGCAAGATAGAATTTTTTTTCTACAAATTACGTGTCTAATCTCTCGACTGTTCACCATCAGCGCTAGCGTTCAGTACAATATCATCTCAATACAAGAAAATTTGGACTTTAAATTGATAATAATAGCAACGATCTATCTATACTCTATGTATATAGAATAATATACAATGTCATAATGATTTTAATAGGTATTATTCGTGTTAAAATATCGACCGTTGATAAAGTATGCTGCATTTACTTAGTAAATCTATACAGAGTGATTCACTTGACATTTTCACTTCCCCTTGTATATGCCAATAATTCATTTTATTAAAACTTTGATTTTAGGAATTATTAAGAATAGGTAGGTACTTAAAGATTTTCTATACTTTCTTATATTTTGATTTTTATACTGTTAAAGGAACGTCCCATGGTAATACAAAAGTTTTCCTATAAATTGTTAAGTACATGGTTTTTTTGAAAATATTAATCAATTTAAATTAAAAATTAATTACTATAATATTTTAAAACTATTATATTCTTCTTTATTTTAAACAATAATATAGAACAATATTATGGACTTTTATCTTTAGTACATAAAGTTCATAATTAAAATGCACTCTTTTAAATTTAAATTGATATTTACATCAGCATTTTTATAAAAATTATCTAATGACAGTATAAAAGACCGGTAATCGTTTAATAAAAATAACTTGTTATTGTATAAAATCATTTGAAAATATAAAGAAAAAAATTGGGGGGAGGGCGAGTACTTAGTGAACTATTTTGAACTATTTTAATATATAAGAATATAATAATGTGTAATTTTATTAAGTTATACAAATTATTATGATGAAAAAGACATTTTTGTATAGTTTTAATTTTATATAGAAATATATTTTTAAGATAAAAAATAGGATTTATAAAACAATAGCACCTATATAATAAGTTGGTAGAGATGATCATTAAAACTACTGAAATTTATAGGTTAGATTACATAATATTGTTTGCTATTTATCAGCCTTTAACTGAATACTATACATTATAGGAGTTTTAAATATTTTTAAAACAATATTAAAATTATTAAATCAAACAAATATAATATTATAATATAATGTATATATCCAAATAATAGATTAAAAAAATATGTACCTATTAATATATTGCTATTATCGCTTATGGTTTGAAAATGTGTAATCTTTATTATTACTATTATTATTATTTGGGTACATAATATAAGCTCTCGTCATATTTTTCAAATAGTTATTTTGTTACACTAGCACTTATGTTAACACAATATTATAATTTATCAGTTATTACTTTTTATACATAATAATATTATTTATCACTTACGTTTATTTCATATGTATCATAGTATATTATATTGGACGAGTCTCGGAGTCCAAGTCAAACTTGATAGTTCATAATAGTATAGTCATTATAAAATTGTACCAACATATCGATAACTGATTTACACGAAATGTATAAATGATGGTTTCAAAGATATAATATGGATATTGGATACGCACAATGTAATAAACATATTATTCGTTGTAAAATACATTTCATTGAAGCAAATTATTATTATTATTATTATTATTATTATTATTATTATTATTGTGCGCGCGCATTTGATTTATCATTTTCGTTGTATTACACAATGTTACGATAAAAAGTAAAAAAAAAAAAATAAAAAAAATACTGAGTATAATAAATTCTGATTTGTTTTTTTACTATAACATACATTTTCACTTAATAATTACAAGGTAGAAAAAAGAAATTTCAAACACTACGAAGAATAATTTAAATACTGTAGTATGCCGTTAGCATATACAAATACAAAAAACTTTTAACATATATTAATGTAATATGGATTTAAAAATAATTCCGTAATGTTAAAATTCTAGTATAATATAATTTTTAGTAAATACTACGTAATACACCTTCTAAATACAAGTAATAACGTGAAAAATATTTGAGGCTTACTAATATAATATTAAGTACATATACAATATAATAATAATAGTAATATATCGCATATAATTTAAGAAATCGAACGCCGTTTTATAACTCATAGCAAGTTCTCGAATAAAACATTCAATTTTATTAATTTATCGCATCCTGGTTGATACAATTTCGAATATTATGAGTTCACGATGGTTCTAGCTGACGATACGTAATTCATTAAGTCGCAGTCGAATTAGTACATACGAACGCCGTACGATCGTATTTTAATTCAAGTTCTCGGTTTTAAATTAATATGTATGCACATGTCGATAAATTAAAAAAAATTAACTTAATGTCATTTCGATTTTAATGCATCGTGCTAACATACAAAATTAATAATAATAAAAAAAAAAAAAAAACGATAAACACTATGTCTTTGAATCCTTTGTCGTTTGTCTTGTAAGAGGGTATTTGGTTCGCCGTTATTATCGGTGGTCCGGTCGTCGCACGAGGAGTAGTGAAAATAAAATATAATAATATTCGCTTAAAAAACCGTTAAGTCTCGCGTTTATTATCGGGCGACGTTCGCATATTATTATAACACTGCATACGTAATGTATACCCGTGACGGCAAATTGTTTTTTCCCGAATTATAATTTTTCACCGTATATACATTTTTAACATAAGTATAGTATTATTATCGTAACAGATAAATTGGAAAGTATATAAGACCTTATGCGAGAAGTCGGTTTCACAACCCGCGGGGCCCGGGTGTATATCACATGTATATTGTATACTATAATATTATAACATTTTTATGATATACTATAAGTATACTATGTTATATATTTAATAATATAATAAATACTGTCTATAATACAATAAAAAAAAGAAAAAAAAACCAAAATCCCAAGGCGAATACGGTTATTATTGTAATTTCTTTTTTTGCGAGATATATTGAAACCCTATTAAAAATTTTGATAATGATATTGTGATATAATAATATACCTAATATTTATCATTGTTGGCGGCCGGCTGAAATGTTATACCTAGGGATTCAGTTCAAGGACGACGCTTAAACGACATTTTGTAACAAATCACCGTAAATCGTACTACAAATACACAAATGTTTTAAATAATAATAATAATAATAATGCAATGTCACGTACTTGTTGATACGTTTCGCGTTTCGGATAGCCCAAATTTTCCGCTAAAACGACACCTTGCAGCGATCTCACTGTGGAACATATCCAGAGCCGCCAACTCAGAGCTGTAGTAAGGTCCATTATTGCTCCTAACCTGATTTTATATACCTACGCTCATATTTTTTTTTCATATAATCATATAATACAAGGAGATTTATCTTCTCGATTTTTCCTTAAACAATCAATTAATTAAAATTGTAAGTTTTAAAATTTTTAATACTTAATAAGAATTATTTTTTCAAATACTTAGATTAAGAGTATCCTGTGATTTCAAATTAAATTTTTACCAATGCGATCATCCTTCTTCATGTAAATTTATTAAGGAAATTACTTTTTCAAAAGTGTTGTTATACCTTTATCGAAACTTAATCGAGTAGCTTTTTAATTATTTAACTTTGGGTAAGGAATCCGTGATAATAGATTGGAAATTTGATGATATTATGAAAAGGATATGGGAGTGATGATGATTTGAAAAGTATAGTGATTGTTAACTTATATTATTGTATTTATATTTTTTAATTAGTAAAAATATTCTGAATATAATAAGTACCAACTAGATAAATTATTATATTATAATACATTTTATATTATTTTAAAATCTTTTTTTAAGAAATATCATCTTTGTATAGTAAATACATTTCAACAACTCATGCATAGATTACTCGTTCGAATTTCGATAAAGATACATCAGCATTTCTCTTAAATAACTCCATGTTAACCATTTTTAGTAAAACGATTTTGTTTGGATACTAACATGCTTGATGAATCACCCTGTAATATATCATGGTACATCCATTATCGTGACGATATGATTACGTTACAGAAAATTATATATTAAACGGCTGCAGACTTTCGAGTAGTACTATACGTTTTTATCACTTCCGCACTCGATACAATGTAATAAAATATGACATATTATTATAATCATATTATACAAATATACAATAGTTGGTTACTCGTATTTATATAATAATGATTGTAATAACAAAAATATTTTATTGAAATTAAGATGTTTTAAGCATTTTGACTATGACTTTTGATAATAATCGTGTAATACATTTGATAATTTTATTAATTGCCAAAAATTGGTTCGCCCGCAAGATGATGTACTTATAAATAGTGAAAATTTGAAATACTGGACACTTAATTTTTAAAATTTTACCATTGAGAAGTATTTTATTTAAATCGTTCAGTTTGTATCTGTTCAAGATAAATTTTGCTTATTGCGTTACTCTGCAATATTTCGATACCGAACACATCGACCTTTGTACGCGATAAGCTCGTTGAACTCTAACGTCGGATTCTTCCCTTCTTGTCTATGCTATGCGAAATCGACGTATGTCCAGCAGTGGACGTAAGATAAGTCCAGTTGAGTTCTCTCTCGCGCGACCGTCGTATGAGACGTCGCCGTTGTCGCGTGTGTGTGGCGTTCAGTGTTGTCGTTATTGGACGTTTTTGTGTCGTTGTGCTGGATACTAGTGAGCTTAGGTTCTGACCCTTGGGTCGTGACGCTATTGTGCAAAATCTTTCTTGTCACGCGTGTGTATCTGTTAAAATATATTATTCTTGATTTTATTTGTTCTCTTCGACCGACGTTTACTCTTCTTCGGCGGTTGATGACGATATCGTGTTGAAAAACAAAACCCTTTCCTCATTTCTAAGAACAGGGCTGTCGGACGTCCGTATTATATTATTATATGTATAATATTGGTCGAAACATACGCGTAACTGTGATAGTGAAATAGGTCGTCAACGTAATATTTTTAAACACGCGAATTCGGAGGTTAAGAATCCGACACCTATATACATCATTATTTTATAATCAGCCCCAGTGGTCAAACTTTCCATGACCCAGGCGTTGGTAAAACGGACGACCGGACGATATCGTTATTTACGTTATGTGATATCTGTAATAACTATCACATTAAAAAAATAGTATTTATTTATTTATTATATATACGTGTTTCACATTAGTTATTATTATATTATTTTCTTATTTGGGCGCCCATCTTAGTATTTTTTTTATTATTTATATTGCATTTTATACAACTGTTTATAACATTATATCATTATATAGTTGTAGCACAACGGTGCATTGAAAAGTTGAGCGTATATTGTATAATAATTTTGGTTACCTGTCCTTTACTGGTATTGTCAATTATTATTGAGATGGTGTCTGGGTAGTATTTTTATTATATTATTTTATCACCATTTAAGGCCAACCGCCATCTCTGTAGGGGCCTTGTGGTACAGTAGCTATTTTTAATTGTCTGTTATTACACATATAGAGGTATACGTAATGGAAGGTTTCACTAATATATATATATATATACTATATACACATGGTGTCTCAACGAATTTTCCTCGTATATTATATATATATATTATATGATGTATACAATTAATTCTAATATTATTTATTAAGTGAATATTTTATCTGCCTGATGCTTAAGATTTAAGACTCGTATATCTAACCATACACGTTAGACACATAAAACTAAAAAAAATATTTAAGTAAATCTAAAAAGTACTTTGTTTTATTACAGAACTACTAGCAAAACATTATGCACAAGTAAACGCCCATGTGCGCAAGCAATTTGTCCAACAACTGAACGCGTACTGTAACAAAACGGTGTTAGACGAAGGACCAGACAACGAAGAAGTACACCAATACCAATGGACGTACTACAACGCTTTCTTTTTCGCGCTGACCACGCTAAGCACGATCGGTAAGTGTTTCGAAAATAAATGCCCACAATGAATTTTCAAGTTTTTAAACGTCCCTATTAATGATATGTAATTTTTTACTTAATATTTTTAACATCGTATAATACAATATAATAATACAATGGCATAAATTAAAAATACGTTTTAACTTTAAAGTATTTGTTTAAAATATTTTTTAACGTTAACGTGGAATCGTTATCAGAGATTTCGTTATAACTGAAATATACCAGATGATTTTTTAGTATTTAAAAAGACTTAAAAATATAGTTAACAAAATATTTTGAGAAATCAAATATATTTTTAGTTTCGTATTTGAAAGCAATATTTATTTTAGTCAATACTCTTATTGTACCCTTGAGGTACAGATTGTGTATATAACAATAAAGGAAAAAAAAATAAAAAAAATATTTGAAAGCAAAATAGTACTTAAAGTATTTCGACATAAAAAAATCAAATTTCTGCAAGTAGATAACTATATATATTTAAAGTTTATATGAGTTGGTAGTACGTCATGAATAGATAAACATCATAAAATGTTGATCAAATATTCTACTCATCTAAACTTTAAATACTCTTAGCTTATAACACGCTCGTTCAAAATTTGATTTTAATGTTATGAAGTACCTACTATGCAAAACATAATTCTGCTTTAAAACAAAGAATAAAAAGTGTATTTTTTTTTCAAAAATTATACTTTTAAATAATGATAGCGTTCTTGGATAAAATAATCATACAGTTTTATAATGATGTCGATAGTCTGTTAGATAAAAATAGGTAATTAAAAGAGATAATATAAGAGATAAATTATTGTAATCATTATAAAATGATACGATTTTTAATTCGAAATTTCTCAACTTTTATTGGAAAAAACGAGTTCATGTATGGGAGAGATTTGGTCATCCCCTGAACAATGAAACCAATAGCGAGTCACGTGTATATACAGCATATATAAAATACGCATAGCATGTCATACATAACAATGACCTTCAAAAATAGTAAAAATGACGTAAAATGTTTATACATAAAATATAAATTATGTTTTAGCGCCCCATCGAGTATTTCATTAATAATAGTGTTGTCTCTATGTACAAAGTTTTGACCACAATTTATACATACAAGTAGTTACATAATATACATAACACCAGCGTGCAAAACGCCGCCTCATTGCGTACCGATTTTCGGTTTTTTACGATCATTGTTTAACCCGGACACACACGCATGCAATTACACATACGCTGCATCTTAATCACCGTAGTTTAAGGTAAACTAAAACGATTTATCTCAGTTTATATCATAATTATATAAATTAGCGTAATTTACTTATTATATAAGCGTATCTACGTAATGAGTGTAATTATAGGTACGTGTATTCACCGTTTAATATCGTATTATGACACTATAATAAGTGCCTAGCTACAATATTACGTGCACTGAAAATTGGCAAAGATCTGTACTATAGTTAATAAAAAAATGAGTAGGACCTGTTTCTTAAAAACACGCATAGTACGTATACCGTGATCGAAAAGTCTAATATTCAGTTAACATAGTTCTTGTAATAAACGGTTATGTACACGGTTTATGCAAAACATTTTATCAATTCAATATTTTTCAAGTTTCGATCTCCATACTATTTTTTTTCTTTTTTCTTTAACTATTAGTTATTGTAACAACTATAATTATATTTGACATGTCGTGATGTGTTAAATACTATAAGTAGTGGTGATGAGGATACCACAACCTCAATCGCATATGTCACTACTTTTATAACTAGTATGCTCTCCAATCACACTTGAATAAAATAAAATACATATATTATCCATGTATGTAATATTATCTATAAACTAAACGCTAATGCATATTTTATAATCTGACAAAATAGAACTCGCCTAATGTTTCACAAGTCTTGTTGTTACGATGTTACGAAAACACTTAATGTATTGTATAAAATGTCTTACTACTTATAAAATTGTGTACAATTGTTACGTATGGCCTATGATTTTATTTTTTAAAATATAAGTGATTGACGATAAAATGGGCTCTGCTGTTGGATTTCAATAATATACCGACTGCTCCAGATTTAGTAATAAATGCACGTTTAGTTGTAAGAAATCGTCATGCAAATGATTTGGACAAAATTAAGAAAGGATATAATATTAATTAAATAAAATATGTAAAAAAAAGATCGTCATACTCTCTAGTCAGATTGTAACACTGTTAAATAATACTATTAACTATGATTATGTCGTATATTATAATATTTATTATAGGTTATGGAAATTTACATCCAACTTCCTGTACCGGACGTATATTAGTGTTGGTGTACTCGCTAATCGGCATCCCCCTCAACGGTATCGTGTTGACGCAACTAGGAAGCTTTTTCGAGTCCAGAGTGAGTATATTATACAATATAATGATTTAAAGTGTTGTACCTATTTGTAGTAAAGCGGAAAATCCTATCTAAAGTTGTTATAGCAAAAAAAAAAAAAAAAATTAACCTTTTTGATTTGTCGCGAAAAATTATAAGTTTGAAATTTTGTTCCACCCAGTTTTTTACGGAATTTACAATACCTAATGCATAGACCCACCCACGGCGCGCAAATAATCGAGAATACGCAGTGTTGCGTACACGGTCAAAAAACAATGCGTGATTTAAAAATAACAAACAATTGTTGACGTTGTGGCTCATTGCGAAAACTATATGACACGCATTTTGTGGTCGACCCGTTGGACCGGATATCAATTTCCTGTGCCAAAAATGAGCGTGAAAGATCGCGGCCGGATCGATTACCGCGGCGACACCATCGCGATACTTGCTAGGTATACTATTAAATTGGCATTTATTGCACCGATTCAATACTATTGCACGGTCGACGCGTTCAATTACACGGTGGTCGCGCACACACCCGCGGCATAATAATTATTGTTGTCCCCATGTGCGTTCACTTCGAGTGCTGCGTAGGTAAAATATTATGTTTAAATAATATAGTACATTATCTATGGTAAATGTTTATACGGTCATAATATTAAATATCGTATAATTGTTTGGCATTGTAAAGCGTCCGAACTCTTAAAGCGGTGGAAAAAAAAACGGCGATTGATTAATCATTTTAATAACGAATTTTTCTCGTTCAATAATAGTTACCTTTAGTGTTCGAAATTATACCTACCCATGTATTAGAATAAAAAAAAAAAAAAAAAAAAATCGACGTCAAAATTAAGTGCGAGATAAACCGATGAGCGTGTACAGTGTACATATAGTAGCGCGCAAGTAATAAGTTAAATAATATATAAACATCATAAACTTATATACGTCAACGAGGCTATAATAATGATAGAAATATAGTTAACGTTTTATTTTATTAGTTTCGCCAATATTGGCACGCCTATATATGCATATATTAAAAAAAAAATTTTAAGATGTCCAACGGAAGTTTGTCGTGTTGATTGTTTAATTTATAATGGTGTTATATTGTTTTACGATCGTCGACTCTTTGGTTGATATCGCATATTATTTTCAAACTAATATTTATTTTTTCGATGATGTTACTCAAGATAAAATTCTGTACGTGCATATCGTGCACGTGAAGAGTCATATTAGTTAGTATTATTATTAAAAGATATAGGCTGTAGGTATACTCATATTAAAACAAATAATAATTTTCTAACAATTGAAGACGCGTTATACATATATTATGATTTGCTTCTGTCCATAAAGTTATATAAATATTATATCAAATGTTTACTATACGTATAGTTCGTCGTATTTCTATTATACCGTAATATAGTTTCTATAATGGTCAGATTTAATGTTTGAGTACAACGATCTATACGAAATTTTGTATAGATCAACGAATATTAAACTGAAATCAAAATGAAAAACGAAAAACGACAAATTGTTTTTGATTATGCCTAGGTGACTAAGATACACAAAATATAGTCTGTCGTATGAAGTTGTAGGATAATTATTAAGATGGCGTGTGAAACTTCTAGAATAATATTGAGTAATTAAACAATGGAAACGTAATTAGGTTAGTTCACTGTACTAACTATGCCTTTTTCATGAATAAGTAAGTCATAACACAAAATAGTTAAAAAAAAAAAAAAATGTATAAGAATTATAAAATGAAAAAGTCAATAGTTTTTTACTGCTAAACGATATAAAATAATATTAGTAGTGAAAAAAGCATTCCGATTGAAATATAATGTATTAAAGGTTTTATTTATTTTATCGTTACGCATAAATAATAATCGAAATTTACTCACGATCATTTTTGAATTTTTTTTCCCAAAAAAACTCCACAGATTCTCCGAGCTCATTACAGTTACAAGACGCAGAGGATGATGGGACCCCAGCTGAGCCTCATCTTGGATATAGTTACGTACTTGATTCCCGGTATAATTGTTTTCATCTTTATCCCGTCTGGAATTATATCCTATTTTGAAGATTGGACGTTTGACGAGAGTGTATACTTCACTTTTGTCACATTGACCACCATCGGCTACGGAGATTATGTTGCCGGTATGGTATTCTATTCAATAGTAATTAGTGAAAGTTAATAAAAATCTTGATGAAATAAAAAATCAGAATATACATATATATTCTAATATATATTTCAACGAAAAAACAATTAATTAATTATATAACTATTTAAATATAAATATAAAAAAATATAAGATATTTTCAAAAATAACTACCTAAAATGTTGTATAATAATTTTTTACTCCTGTAAACTTAATTTTTTATACGATGAGGGTAGTAAAAATTATAATTTCTCGTGCATTTTAAATTATATCTAAACATTAAAATCTTTCATTTATAACTATTAATTAATATAAATTTTTAATGAAATATACGTAATTACTATAAAATTATCTTCAGTGTCATTTTCTTTCTATAAGTTATGTATGTATCTATGCATAAAATAGTTTAATATTAAACGCATTAATATACACAGTATTAAAAAAAAATGCATAATTATGTATTTGAAATGAATTTAATATTTATGTATAAAATATATATAATAAAATTTTGGCTTGTTTTGTATCGTAAATAATTGAACTAGGACATTTGTATATTATGCTCATAAAAATTATATATATAAAAAAAGCCATTTAAAGAGTTTATTAGCATTTATTAATTTTAAAACTTTTTGAACACTCCGCATAACAAACGTACCCAGTTATAACCGGATGACGATTGCGTAACCGCGTGTTTCAGGGCAGACCGTCAACACAAATATATGGTACGATGCGTATAAAGTGTTCCTAGTGTTTTGGATTATGTTCGGTCTGGGATACCTGTTCATGATACTTAGTTTCATATCGAGGGCGATGAGATCCAAGACGCTCGAGCACCTATTCTTGGAACGGCTTAAGCAAACCCACACGAAAATCTGGCATCAGTTTACAAAGGACGTCGTGTATATAAGACGTGTGCTCAACGAGTCGTACCTGCTGAAGTTTAAAGTTCGTTTAGTTATTTGTATATATTATGTGAGATAGTTAAACAAAAAATTACTATTATCATTATGAACTATGATTTTAAAATTTTAAAATTATACACTTAACAAAACCAACATTCAATATTTAATTCATATAAATTTGAAACAACAGGTTTATTAGTTTACTTTTTCGATCTTAATTATTAAAATTATAATATGATTGGTTAATTGATATTTTGATTTTTATCAAAAAAAGTAAATATAGACATATAAAATAGATGAATATCCTGCTATAGCTAAAAAATTTAAAATTCAAGACTTTCGATTAAAATTTGTAAAATATCTCTAAAGCATGCTCTAAAGTTGTCTAAAGAGTCTAAAGAATACATACGGTAAAGTATTCAAAATGCCATGTTGAAAAAAAAATATCACAAGCAGTGATTTTCTATTAAAATATATATAAAAAGGACTGTTTCAATGTTTTTAACTGTTTTATTGGTTTTTGTTTTAACTAGAACTTTAACTTTCTAGTCCAGAAAAATACAACGTTACTGTGCCATTTTTTAAAAATATTTAATATTTATATCGTGACACTCTCTAGTCTGAAGAATATTGTGCGTTAACTTAAATTTTAATTTTATCATTTGTACGTAATATATAAATATATGTTTTTTAAAATATAAATCCGCAGGGTGATCTATTTAACTGATTGTAGTAATTTCTTAAATATATTTTTAAAAAAAGTATTTTTTACAGTGTTTTATTTTAGATATTAAACTAAACTAGTTTATATTGAATTTTACTATTCAAATTATACTTATTGTTTTTATAGTTGTAAACACAGTAATATATTTTTATATATTTATAATATGTTATATTTTTAATTATTAGCTCCTTTATTAATTTAATGTAAAGATCTAATACCTTCAAATTTCACTTTTTTCGTCTAAAGTTTAATTAATTTAATTTAAATGTTTAAAAAATTATCAATAATATATTATACAAAATTAAAACGATGGAAAGTTTTAATTTAAAAAAATATTAAACCTGAAAAACTATTAGGGAAAAAAAATTATGAATACATAATTATAGTTATGTTATTCGTAAATACTTCGAATTTTATGACTATAGTGTATTAATAAGCGTTTATGTAAACGCAAAGTGTGTTGTAGCTTAATAATGTATCACTTTGCATACTAACAAACTAAAAGTACATTTCATTAATCCTCTACTTTTGGATTTTGAACTTCTAACCACGTATACATTTTGTTTGAATTTGTTTTGACAGCTTCCAGAAATTGCTCGACGTTCATACAAAAATTATACAGTTGTATTTAATATCAGGGGGCTGTAGAAACTTTTCTCCAGTCTCCGGAAATCAAAAGCTGTAATTATATGTATTTATTTTTAATTTCATAATTTAGAACGCTATTATTTAATTTAATTTGTTTAATAGTTTACACATTTTTTTAACGGGTTTCTTCAGTCCTCCATTCCGATGTTTAAGTCCTGTGAGTACGTCGAATTGGTTCTAGAAATAATCAAACACTTTTAAATAAAAATCGTATTAAAATATAATAATAATAATAATAATAAAAAAAAAAATACAAATAAAATTTTTGATTTCTCTGACGAATCTTAAACTTACAATGTATATGAGTGGTTAGAAAACCCGAATTCCAAAAAGGGAGAGGATATCAATGAAATGTACGTCAACAGTTTCGCTCAACTACATCACAATAACAATCTAGTACAACAATTATAACAACGTGTGCACTCGTTAAATGTGTTCCGTTTAGCCGGTGTACAAGAAAGAGGTGTTATCGCGCGACCAACCACTTAGACGGAGCCGAAGCGCACCGAACCTGACCGAGTGGCCGATTCTGTGCAAAACGCCAGCAAAGGTACCGTTAGTGCGTCGGACGTCTGACGACGAGGACGAGGAGACGGTGCGCCGGCGGTTCGAGAAGCATCGGATGAAGCGTCGGCGGGCCCTGTCCCAGAACAAGATGCGGTCGCTGCTCCGTCGCACTAAGGCTACGTCTGAGATAGATTTGGCGCACATCGACAAGGATGCCACGTTCGGCGCTGACATAGCGTCCTACGAGATCCTTTCCCGAGTGGTCGACGCCCTAGAGACGGCCGTGCCTAACCAGCAGAGCGATCACCAGCACCAGTCATCGCAGCACGTCCATCACCATCTGCATCAGGACGTCGCAAATTCGGTGAGTGTATATCGTACCGGGGGGACGAATGATTATGCGTTATCGAGGAGAGGAGAGAAGAGGTAATTCGTTACTGTCGTTTCCGAAAACGCTTCCTATCGATACTACGGAAGTCCGTAATGAACGGTTCTTACCGTTTTCGGTATCTAGATCAGACAAACTCCTCGGAAATAATCCGCCTTTACAGGCTAATATATTTTTATGTGCCAGAGTAAACGCTTCGTGTAACCGATTGTTCATCGTTCATCCGATTTTGATACCGAATAGTTCACTTGCAGGGAAGAGGAAAATATTTTAAATCCGTTTCACGAACAAAGTCACTTTTTCACGTTTAAACTGTCATTGAAATTAAACATTGAGTGCAAGAGCGACGAAGAATATTTATTTAATTTTCATACTTGTTACATCATCAATCCTAGCTAGAAAAATAGAGAAAAATCTTTAGAATCTTTAAGTCATTTTTTCTAAAATATATCGTTTTTTCTTACTACTAGAACAAGGGAAAAGCGTTATCGTTCTCCGAGGGCGTGCAAGGGTTCTCGTCCGAGGATATTATAGCCGGTGAAAAAAATGAGTGGACAGTCGGCGGCGATATGCTGAACAGGGAAAACGCGTTCGCGCCTAAACATAGAAATTCGTATTTCGAGTACGACACGTGGGGTGGAGCTGACAATCAAAATTTCAAAAAGTAAGTGAATTGTTACTATTATTGTATAACTATTATTATTACTGTTTATACGCGTTTGACTGCGGTAGTCGATAACTGAAGTTTACTGAAAATTAATGATTTCACGATTGACATTGTCGATTGTCACTACAATAACAATGAACTTTATCTACCAGAATGTTGTCAGTATGGTTTTTATATGTCGTGACTTCAAATTTTAAACGTTACTATCACTGCTGGTAATCGAAATACGATTTGGACGAAACTTGCTCATTAACTCTAATGGTTTTCTTGTAAAGGTAACATAACATACAACAACAACAATATCGATGATTATTTGTTCGGAGAAATTTAAAAAATATATTTTACATCCACATACTTTGTTGTATTATTATAAAAAAATCTTTTTAGCGCACTTTTTCTTTCGTATTAAACAGCGTGATCTTTTTTAATAATAGACAATATTGAAGTTTGAATAGGTACAAATAGTAGCTAAAATAAAATGATGCACTGCCTCCTGTACAGGTAATCTATAAAAGTTCAAGCGAGAATTTTCAGGTTGAGTATTTTTGATTTCTGCATGAATCGGAAAACGGAATCGAAATCATCAAAGTCTCGTTATGACTTATAGTCGATAAGGATAAATTCGAATTTATGTTTTTCACGTAACAGAAAAACAAAACGTAAAACTGAACACTGAACAGTTGAAAAATTCACAAAACGTAAAACATCATCACAGAAACGTTCACAATACGTAAAAGATAAATGAAATACGAAAAATCGAAACCACAACCACGTACTATAATTTGAAAAATAAACGATCATAAAATCATGTTTTATATTAAATTAATTATGTTAATGAAAAACGATAACGATAATAATGATTTGGTGTGTATTTTATTTTTATTATCGCCTGCAGTAACGTTCGGTAAGGTCGACGACAGTAGTTGCCAGTTGGCTCTGCATACATCACGATGAACGTATATACGAATAGTTATTGACCGTAATTATTATTGTTTGCAGACAAAGACTCGGCGAGTCGGTATCTGTTGGGAAGAAAAAAAAATGTACTCGCCTCGCTGTAAGAGGTCACTGAATAATATTTACGTGAAAGTTCAATTTTTTTTTCCTAATCCTTTAAACGATTGTAATCTTCCGCTCTGAAATTCTTTTGCATACATTATGCGATACCCATTAAATTCTATACAACCGCAGCCGTCTGACGTACGGCCTTCGGTTTCAAACGACTTAACATCTCCGATGACCTTACGATTTTGTCGGATGCGAATATCCGAACAAATCACGCGTCCGTTGTCCGCTTTGTATTATTGTTATTGTTATTAAATTAGAAACTCAATACTTTCGTGCTTTGACGACTTCCCGGTTACGCGCGATGTATAATAACGCGATATCACGACATTAAATTGAAACATTGTTATAGACTTTTACTTACAGTACGAATACTATTTTAGACGCGTAATTATTGTGGTTCGATGGACGTTTTGAAAAAATTGTACCCCCTCCGGTGTACCTATACATCCATACAGCAGTGCATATTTAACTATTACGCTACGAGGATGAACAATATTATTCCTCTGAAACATCGCCTCGCCGACATGCAATAAATAATAAATTTATCACGATATTTCCGAAAAACAAAACGTGATAACATTATAATGATATACGCATGCCCGCCCTTGGTGTTGGTGAGTTGCGCCCCAGTCCCAAAATAACGTACGAGTTGCGGCCCGGGTTTATAAAGGGTGCGTACGAATCGCGGCCATACAATAATGTATATATATATTACATATATACATATGTGGCAGTGGGATGTAAGATTATTTGAAGCAATTGCTTCATGTTTGAAATATCCATATATTTCAGTAGCCAAGTCCGGGTGGGTGTATAATTATTGTAAGATCTCGACATAAATATCATGACAAATATTATAATTAATATAATTTAATACAATAATATACTAATAGGCTACCAAGTCACTGTGCCGACATGCGCGTGTTGTATAAATAGTTATTTTAGTTCTGTTTTATCAAATCTAACAAAAGATAGCAAATTTTTAAGTTTAGTTTAAGTATAAATGTATACGACTAATATATTCATTTAAATTTAAAATGTTATTGATAATATAATATAATGATAATTGATAATAATACAATCTTATATAAATATAATATTAAAATGTACATTTTTTTAGAATAGTAATTTGTGTTAAATTGTTAATTATTTTAAGCTTTAGTAAAACATTATCAATTATAAACATTAAAGATTGTTGTAAGGAATTTCATTATTTTTATTTATTTATAATCTAAATTTTAAAATGTGTATGAAAAATTCAGTTCTCATTGAGGTGGTCAGGCAGTATCAGTTCTCAAGTGGTCCGCGGGCGCAACAGTAGCAAAAGGTTGAGAATGTATTATATAAAAATATAACTTCCGAAATCATACCTGTGAATCTTTCATTAGTTATGTATAAATAACTTAGGTAATGATAATAACTCAGGCCTGCAATGCCTATGCCTAAATATTACCGGGCCGCAATTCACCTCAGCCCCCCCTGCGGCAGTGCGTACGTCTGAACCAAGTTTGCGATGCGAGCGACATTTTGTCAGCGCTTTTGCATTTTGGCTGGGGCCAAAACAAACCACGCATTTTGACTCGTTCGCGCGTAAAAGCGGTTTGCAATCGCGTTCGTCGGGCCACGGCCCATGCGCCTACCCGCAGATCCACTGACGCCGTTCGCTTTTCACGTTCAACGAGTACGCGAAACACAGTGGCGCCGAAAACGCCCGCGTGCGAAGCTGTCGCTCGCATGTCGGCAGGCCGCGTTCGCTTCTGTCCAGCAACATCGCGCCCATGGCTGGCCGACCAGTTGGCCGACGGGCGCGGAGCGGCGAACGCGAACCAGGGACGACGACCCCGAGACAGCGACTGTCGCTGAGCAACCACGGTTACGGGCATGGTCCACGTCAACGGGGCATGGCGGCGAACCGCCGGACCGCGCCGCGTCCGTATCAGCACACCCGCCGGTCGCACGGCCTCAAGTGGTGCAGACGCGCGAGCGTTCGGCACGTCGGCGCCCGAACACCCGCGACACGGCGCCTCCATCGAATCCGACGGTGCTCCGCTTACCACACACCATCGCTCTGGCCGTTCCTGATGACAGTTAGCGGATCGCTGGTTGCGTTCGTCAGGGCGACGGGCGAGACCGGCGCCACCCCCGGCAACCGGACGAGGACGTGCACAGGCGGCGGGTTCTGGCTCATACGTCACGCACGACGCGTCTGCCGCTCCTTCGCTGTTCTGGCCAGCCGCGCCGGAGTCCGCAGATCGTGGCAACTCGTGTGAGCAGTCCCACCTGTCGTCCCACGTCACGGCGGTCAGCACGACGACGGCGCCGGCCACGGACGCCGGTACCGCAATGCCGGTAACTATTATTATAATATTGTAATGTCGATCATATTATTCGATCTATTTGTTCGCGATTTGTCCGTTTCGTTTGCGACGTTCGCAGCGCGTACAAACAGGGGCGTATTTAACGATTTTCCACACCTATGCCGAATTGAGTTCGCTGTCACTGCAGTCCTAAAAATAAACGACTTTTACACTATTGCTAAACATCTTTGAATAAATTAATTTTCTCAATAATACGCGATTATATTTCTATTCGAGTTGAGTTTAAGATAAAAATGTTCCAGTTCAAATAATTATAATAGCTGTTACCGCATTTGCTTTTATAGAGTTAAAATGTGTACAAGAAAAACTTTATAAAATCAATAGTTTACGCGTACGTAAAAACTATCAACTAACTCAATATTGTAAACGGATAAATCTTAAAATAATTATTGAATTGTCAAATAAACGTAATAATATTATTGTAGTATTCATTGTGAATTCGCATCGATCACAATCTTTATAAAGCGAATATATTTGTAACGTATTATACATTTATAAATATTCCATTCTATAGAAAGATAAGATAAGCTAAAATAAAGCATAATCGTCGTCGTCATCGACGAATTCTTGGGAAAAAAATAAAATAAATATTACTTCAGTAAAAATAAATGAACACAAAATCCAGATGTGCCGTCAGAATAGTCTCATAAAATTTAAAAAATTAAATTAATTAATTAATTAATAATTAAATACATTCGAAAACATAAAACGACATAATTATATCTCTGTATACTTTATATACTTTGTATGCAGCATATTATCTGCTTATGAGTTAGAAATATCGTAATTATCATCAGCCGTCGCTTTTGTGTGGTATAGGTAAAAATATAGCTAATACGAATATTACATAGTGAAGTAAAATAAACATACTACAATACCTATTAATTTTTTTTATTTTTAATGAGTTACGTTAAATTGTTATCAAATGATATCCATTCGTAAATTCAAAATAAAAATTTCATTATAAATTTCTAGATTGATTTTCAAAAAAAAAAAAAAAAAAATGCAATTTTCATTTAAATAGTCTTATTCAAATGCATAATCTATGATTGCAATGACATAACCGTAAGATAATAACAATTATTATAATTAATATTCTAAAAAAAATATTATTACCATCGCTGACATCAGTTTAATAATAATTGATAACGTACTTATTATTAAAGTTAATAATATGATTTATGATAATACGAGTACATCGTAGAAAAAAAAAAGTCGATGCGTAGGTGAATACGACATTAGACATACGTAATACGCATTATACATATTATCATTCGACTAAACTGATAATAAGTCGTTTTCTCAGGACATTAAGACACGAATATATAATTTTGTTCTCGTAACCCATTAGACATATTAATTTATTTTCGTCGTACGTGTACCGACCAAATATAATATTTATTTGATACGTATTTTAATACACGCACAGTCTACAAGACTGGGCTTGACTAGACTTTAGACTTAAAATTTGTATAATATTTATTTTTAAGTTTTTAAAATCCAAGAACTTAGTTTATGAATTTCAGATCCTATTTGGCTGTTGCATCACACTGATAGTGAAATATTCGATATAATATCATATTACGGTGCTATAGTTACTAAACAAACGAGCATATCAGCTAGATGATACTGGGAATGAAATGTTCTCCGTGATCAGAATAGATAATAATAAAGTAATAAATAATATTGAACGGTATAATAAAATTTGACTTTATCCAGTTTATATCGTTTTCTCCAAGTCTGGGGAACGTGCGCAATGGCAGTAAAAATAAAACTAGTTAACACGCCTGTTTTTTTAGTTATAGTTAGGTGCAGACTTTAGGCGTAGATAATAAGCTAACTGTACTGATTTCTAACTATAAAAAAAAATAGTGACAATAGCCGTGCCAAAAAATACGAATGAATCGCATACTAAACAAAAATTTCTCAGTGTACACGATGTTATTAAGTAGTTAATCATTGTTATTCTAATAAATTACAACGATACCAGATAAGATATTATTTATAATAATACGCAAAATTAAAATATGGTACCGAAATATTGTAGGATAACAAAACAAATAAAATCGTTATCGTTTGTTTAAATATCTAATTTTGTCAACATTTTAAATTCAAATGTTCATAAAAGAAAAAATAGTATAGTTATTATTTTAAAATTTTGTTAATGACTTATTAGGAAACTTTTTAAATTTTCAAGCTTTTTGACTGGGCATAAAATTTTATTTTTTTTGAATTTTTTTATAAATATTTATATATATACATATAAACGAATATTAAAAATACCTACAAATCGCTTAAAATTAATCTAAATATTGTGGAAATTTCGTTGAATATAAAAAAAATAATTTGAATAACAGTAGATTATTTTAAATCCTTACGATTAATACTTGTCAAATTACTATGATAAAACACAAATCGTTTGAGAACAAAACAAATCATTATTTTACGGGTGAATATACAACTACATCGAGATTTATTTAATTGTTTATCCCGTAAATGGTCAGGTTATATTAGTTAGGTGGAAATATCGAAAATAATTTTTGTCGTTATCATTATCTCATCAGGTTCACGATCAGTCCGCGGCTGCAACGACCACGAGGAGATCTAGGAAGAAACGCGCTAGAAGATTCTCGATAAGGCCGACGGTGGGGTCAGCAGAACATAACGGCGGCGCTCGGTGTTGGACAACGACGTCCGGGACCAACAACACCGTGTATGGCACTACCGATGACACCGACCACCTTAAGGAAAGAGGAGCTATAGTGGAACCGGGTGCAGGTTTTATAGGAGCTGGCGGAGGAGAAGTCCGGCTCAACATCGAAGACTGACAGCAAACATCACCCACCCACCCATCGACGATAATACTATAACAATTATTGTTTCACGGTTGGAAGTATGCATCGATCGCTATTGATCAATCATCGTCCACTGCCGTCGATCAAAAAAAAAAAAAAATAAAATAAAATAAAGAAAAATAAATATATACAAATTACACGCAACGTTTATGTATATAATATATTCATAATAATTATTATACGTTTTTACTACACTATTAATTATTATTATAATTTATTGAAAAACCGATTTCTCGATTACAACACACGACGTAATGATATTATTTTGTTACCGTCGTGTTATTTATTTTACTTAACTATGTATACAATGTGATATGTTATCCAACCAACACACGCGACGCGTATGATACTATTAAAAACAAAATTTTAAAAGTTTATAAAACAAAATAGTTTTTATTTTTTACCTATTCCATCGTCATTCGCTGATTAAAATTGTTTCGGCTGTATTCGTGATTCGTGGTAGAGGCTGATTCTCTTCGAAAACTACATAAAAAAGTAACTCAATTTTGTTAAGTTACATTCATTTTTTTTTTTTTTTGTTCAAACTGAATATTTGCAACCCATCATTAATGCTAAAGTACATTGAGTTATTTTGTCAAAATCACGTCTCATGACGAGTCACAATTTTATTTAAAAATACATTACCTTCATTTTTGAGACAAAAACGAATTTAACGTTTGCAAGTAACGGTTTTAGTGTTCATCAGTCAGTAATCACGGTATCTGCCTTGCACAAACTTTACTATTTTCGATATGTTCTATGATGACTTGTTGAGTTTGTTTCAAAAGAAATGGCCAGTTTCTCAAAAATTTACAGGAATAAATTAATACTTACCGATTAATTCAAATAATTTCATCAACGCACGCAATGTTTTCAGTTGTTGACATGGACAATTTCGTGCGCGGTATTCATCGGTGATATCATTACTGCCGTTCTTAAACAAACCGCACCACATATTGACTAAAATTACTTTTTTGCCATACGACTTTGCATACCTCCTTACAAATTTTTACAAGCTTACAATTTTTAACAGTAAAAATCTGATTATTACGCGAATTTCCATTTTGGAAGACGTAACTGCAATGATAGTCATGATGATTAACTAACAACTGATAAGATTTTCAACCAAGTTCAATTTCACAAAATTAACTCTGAAAGAATAGTTCAGTGTTGGCACCTAATTTTATCGAAAAATATTTATTTGAGAAAATTATATGGCCAAATGCAACTTAATTTTTGATTGATCCTATCATATAATGATCATATAGGAATTGGTTCGTAAAGTGTTGTGTGCCGAGATGTATAGGCAATATAAGATACGTTGCAGAACGTTTTGAGAAAAATTTACGCTCGTCGATACAAGTCGTTTTTAATTTGTTGTATGGTGAGCGACGTGATTTAATTCTTATATATTTTGTTTATTATTATTTAAATGTATGTAATTTTTTTTAACTGATGATTTATATTTATTATATTTGTATAACTTTATAATAATGTGTTATTTTAACTTAAAGCAACAACCATACTACTATACCTATATGATAAAACAGTGGCGTATATAGGGGGGGGTTTTAGGGGTTCAAACCCCCCCCGAAATGTATGGTTGGTATTGGCCTTGATTTTGATTGTTATAATATTATTATTTTATAATGTCAGGATTTCTATGAAATACTACAAGATAACGACGCGTCGTAAGTCGTGACGGACTGCTGCGAGTCGTCGACGGTCTATATACATATAAAATATATAGTTAGTATAGAAGTGTGTGTTCAATATACGACGATAATCTAAAGACGAAATTATCGATATTATTATTTCTTATTATTTGGTTGTTAATTATTATGAAGAACCAGACAAACAAAATTTAGTTTGTTTTCGGACGTCAGTTGTTTCGTTAAGTGTCGCGTGTGTAACAAAATAGGTATTAATTATTAAATATGGCATCACAACCTTCATTATTACATTTTTTTAATAAAAAAGTAGCTGTGACTGAGCCTGAAAAACATGATGATAATCCTTGTTCATCCACTACTATCAATAATAGCAAAATTGATAGTAATACTGATTTAAATGAATTAAATGAAATTCTTGATATTGGTTTATATATTAATACAAGAATATCTGACAACAAGTTGAAATATGATTTATTGAAAAAACCATGGCAGCCTCCTACGTCATACAACTTTCCGGTAATTTCAAAAAGAAAATTAAAATTTCAATTATCTTGGATCACACGTTTCTCCTGGTTAGTATATTCTAAAAAATTAGAAGGCGCGTTTTGTAAAATGTGTGTACTATTTGCAAACGAAACATTTGGGAAAGGCAGCTCTGCAAAAGCTGGTTTATTAGTTAATAAGCCATTTATTAAATGGAAAAATGCTATTGAATATTTTAAAACGCATTCAAATGCTGATTATCATAAATTATCAACGTTAAGAGCTGAAGAGTTTGTTAAAATAGTAGAAAATAAAACTTTTGATGTAGCTACACAAGTAGATTCGTTTAGAAAAGCCCAGGTTATCGAAAATCGTCTAAAATTAATTTCAATAATTGAAACAATAATTTTTTGTGGTCGTCAAGAGTTAGCCATGAGAGGTCATGACGATAGTGGGCCTATTTTTAACTGTGAAAAAGATAACAATGATGGCAACTTTCGATCTCTGTTAAGATTCCGAGCTTTAAGTGGTGATTTAACATTAAAAAATCATTTAATGAATTCGTCGGGAAAATCAGTTTATATAAGTCCTATGATACAAAACGAAATAATACAAATATGCGGCTCTCTTATTCAAAAAGAAATTGTGTTGAAAATAAACCAAGCAAAATTTTTTACTATTTTGGCAGATGAAACGTGTGATATATCTCGTATCGAACAAATGTCTTTGTGCGTAAGATATATTGATAATGGTTGTATTAAAGAAGACTTTTTAGCATTTATTCCTATTTATGATGTTAGTGGAAAAGGTATGGCATGTACAATTATTCGAGAAATAGGAAAATTGGGAATTAAAATAGAAAATTTAATCGGTCAGGGTTACGATGGGGCGAGTGCAATGAGTGGGTTGTATAATGGTGTCCAAAAGCATATTAGAGATAAAATACCACATGCGCTTTATGTTCACTGCGCGGCTCATTCGCTTAATTTAGCAATCGGAAAATCTTGTACCATTCCTGAAATACGAAATTGTATTGGGTCAATCTCCACAATTATAAATTTCTTTCGAAAATCTCCAATGAGATCTGCGGTTTTAAAAGAATTTATAAAAAAACATACTCCAAGTACTCAACAAAGTAGTCTTATACAAATGTGTGAAACACGTTGGATAGACCGTCATGAAAGTGTATTAAGATTTAAAGATTTATATAAAGTTATAGCATATGCATTAAATGATCTTGAAAGTAATCATAATTTAGAAACATCACAACTCGCTTTTCAGTTATCTAAAACTCATCGCTCGTCTCAATTTATTATAGCATTATATGTCATAGAAAAACTTTTTTCAATTACATTACCATTATGTAATGCATTACAAAAAATAAATTGTGATTTATCTGAATGTTGTGAAAATGTTGCAAATTGTATAAACGTTGTATCTTCTATTCGCAATAATGCCGATAAAGAATTTCAAAATTTGTTTTTAGAAGTCGAAAAAAAAATTTGTTTATTGAATGAAAGTATTGAAATACCTCGAATAACTAGTCGTCAATCGTCTCGAAGTAATATGCCAGCTGAATCACCAGAACAGTATTATAAGCGAACGATATTTATACCATTTATCGATTATTTTAAAAATCAATTAATAGAACGATTTTCCAAACATAATGAAATAATTTCCGTCTTACAAAAGTTGATTCCAAATTTACTTAACAAGTTTAAACCTAGTTTTAATGATTTTGAAAAAATGTATAGACTTTTATAAAAATGTTTTACCCAGTTATAATACATTTGAACCCGAATTCAAAGTATGGACAGAAAAATGGAAAAATGTTCCCGAGAGTCAGTGTCCAAATTCTGCTATTGATACTTTAAATAAAGTATCAGTTGATTTTTTTCCAAATATATGGTGTTTGATGTCAATATTAGTCACTTTACCGGTATCAACTGCGTCATCTGAAAGATCCTTTTCAACGTTAAAAAGATTGAAGTCGTACTTGAGAAATAGTACAAGCGAAAATCGACTAACAGGATTAGCCCTCATGTCAATTCATCGAAGTATTTCAATAGACACTCAAGAAGTTATAAATGAATTCGCAAATTTGCCTCGAAAATTAGATTTTGTCCTTTAATTTAACTTATATAAATATATAATATACCTATGTGTTTGATTCTGTAATGATTTTCATATTATTATTATATCGTGTATCATATTCTCCGTTTGCGTTATCGCCGTGCGTCGGGCCGACCATGACGACAACCACTTCTTTAATATTTTTATATATAATTTTTTTTTATTATGTTATTTATAGTTTCATACTGTATCGTTATCGGCGTGAGTCGATCACAACGATAACGCCAATGAATAACTTTTGATATTATATTATTATTCAGTCTCCGTCTAGTCCGGCGCGTACGGCGAATTGTTATAATATGTATATTTAATATTTATGCTTTTAAAATATTTGATTTTGTTATTTTATTTTTTTGTTAAAAAAACATTCTGACAACAGATGATGATCGTGGCCATCACCTACAATTCAATTTAATGATTTAATTAAATGTCTATAATTATTAAAATAAAGTTAGTTTATAATATTGATTAGGTGAATAAATTTTTTTTAACCCCCCCCGAAATTAATTTCTATATACGCCACTGTGATAAAACAATTTATTAAATGAGCAAAAAGTAAATAATTGTAATCTCTGTTATGGCTAATGAATTTAACATTTTTTTTTTTTGTGTATAAAATGCTCTACTTACTGTTAAATAAAATATGATTCACTTATCTAAGTATTTGATTCGTAGAATTTGAAAAATATCAGTTAATTTTTATAATAAGTTATTATTATTAATGATGCTTTACATACCTATACTATGCGTTATTTACACGAATGATGGAACTGACAATTCAATAACTTACAATAATTAAGTTACTAACAGCAAGTTAAATTATTATAGTTATACGATAAGTTATAGTTATCGTTTATATGCATGGATAACAAACCTTTTTATTTAACTGCGTGCAAATAATTGTTATTGATTGCATATTTTGGCCATTCAAAAATTACACCATAACTATCATCACCTAGTACCTAGTATCAAAAACAAAAAGTCAAACAAAGCTGGATTTCGTTTTCGTTGGCAAACTAAAATATAAAAACGATTTCATTAGACTAATTTATCAAATTTCCTACGGATATTTGAAAAGTGTCATATATAGGTTCAACAAAACTAGTTTATACTATACCTATACTATATACAGTAAATCTTTTGTCCAATTTTTGATGTAAATAGAACGCGTCATAGTCGTGATGTCTATGTAAGATTTTATATGTTCTACGTAATTACGCTCATGATATTTTTTTAACGTAATTTTACGGATTCATCTCTTCTAAAATCTTTATATTCAATAATACTTTTATTTTGTTATCAGTCCAGTTAAATGCAATACAATTTGGCTGAACGTGTAGAATAAATTAAATCGTATTCAAGCCTAATTCACAAACATCATTTAAACAATATACTCTTGTTTGATTACATATTATTCTGTTTTAGTAAATTATTTACAAACATAAATAAAATCACTTCACCTACATACATAGTTAATAAACGACTATCCGTTGAAATTTTTATAACAATTAGTATGACACACATATAATACAATCAATAAAATTAAAACGTAAGAATTCTAATCAACGTAGAATATGTATGGTTAAAATTGTTTATGGATAATACAATAAATATAGATTTCATGTGTTCGTAAGATCTTTTGCATCACCAGAAGTCGTTAGTCTGTTATCGTTCGCATAATCGTATAATATGAGTCTAGTGACTAGAAGTAATAGAACTGCAAAGTTAATGAAAATAATTATTCAAGTAGAGTTACGTTAAGTGGATACAAGATTAACAAGTTAAAAGTTCATAATTAACAAATAATTAAATCACTGTGTTTAAAATTAACACGGAAAAAAATATTAACTATTACTAATTTTTTAAATAAAATTAGTTCGTGGATCACATAAAGAGTATTTCATATAGCTAAATATGTATACAATATTGTTTTTAATCAGGAAACATAACAGAAATACTATAGTGTTATAAATAAAAGTAAAATTTTTAAATTAACTTAAAATAAAGAAATTATTTTGACTGTCAATCAAACTAGTCGTATAAAAAAATTTGAAAAAATAATCAAATTTTTAACTAGTTAAACTGCAGATCACACATATCACTACAATGTAGTAATAATAATATGATACTGACACGTCGTCAGAAAGGTTCGTTTCTGTTCAACGGCACACACCGAGAGCACAGCTTGAAGTAAAAATAAAAAATTGAACAACGGGTAGACAAATAGGCGATAACGATTTATTATTTACACATGTGCGAAGTGAAATAAAAAATAATATAATATAACAAGGGTTTCTTTCACAAGTCTTATTTAAATATTTCTGTACACAAAAAAAAAAAAAATAATAAAATAAAATCATAATAATAAATAAAAATTAAAGGGAAAACGTATAATAATAAAATTGAATCGAAAATTTTACACACACACTGTAACGGGAAAACGAAATGAGCACGTCTCATTCTCATAAAATAATAATAAAGTATAGGTATCTACTATTAATATTATTATTATTATTATTATCGTCGTTGTAATGTGGGTATATTATAATATTTAAAAATATATTGTACTATTTGTGTAATACATAGACGACTGGTCAGTGAAATGGAGAATCAAGGGACTGATAATATTATAAAGTTCTCAAAAAAAAAATAAATAATAATAATAATAACAAAAATAGTGATTTAATAATAGTGATAAAATAACAAAACGAAATAAAAACCACACGATACTGCAATGGAAGATTGATGAATTACAAAATTATTATATATCGCACGCACAGTATAATTATTATATTATATTATATACACGTCATATACGTTTGGAATTAAAAACGTACGTTTAAATAATTTATTTATTAATTGAGAATCACACGTAGTAGTCCCATTATCGTACACATATTTAAATATAATAATAATTATTATATATTATTGGATTTCCACACAAATACACATTACCATATTATTTTAATATTATAATACATACATAACACACCGCAATGATGTATATAATATTTATATTTTATCGTCTATTATATAGACCATTGTTTTAATACTGATGGCAAATCCTCTAGTGCGCGAGTTTAGGGGGGGGGGAGAATAGGGAGAATAAAATATGATTGAAATCTCGTCACAACCTAAACAAACTATTCAGTAGGTATGGAAAACGTCAGAATATTATTGGTCATCAAAAAGTGTTTTTTTTTGTTTAAAATGGTTTTAGGTTTTTTGCGCCAAATATTTATCATATTATCGACGGGTTGGACGCAAAAGTTAGGATACCGGCATGGAGTTTGCGGTGGTCGGCGACGTTCAGGCGACTTCGGATGGGGCGGTGACTTCAATGAGCGTGACCGGGAACGTGGTCGCGGCGTTCATTTCAGTGAATATGTCCAGCAAGTTGTTGATACCGATCAGGTATCCGTCCTCATGATTGCCCACCACCCATTCGGACGTGTGGTTGATCCGGATATCTGGTGGAAGTATTAGCGTCTTGGCGAAATCAATCAGCCATATATTGGCGTTCTTGCTATCGTGCACAAACAGCAACGAGCTGCCGATTACCTGCGGATATAAATGTCGTTATAATAATGGTGCGCAATGTGAATTGTTTACATAATATTATTGTGTTTATTTTTACCGTTAATTCGTCCAAAATATAAAAATCACGTATATCGCCCAATCAATAATATATTAGCAGTGCAGAACGTCCAGGGATGTTTTCAAAATATGTTATTATCACATATTATGTTTCGATAAAATGTATTTTATCATTGCATTGTAATAATAATAATAATAATAATAATAATAATGAGGTACCTATAACTCGATGACAATAGCAATAAATAATACATTAACTGATTAAAACATTTTATTTATTAAGCACACTTGAAAATATCCTCCCTCTTACGGTGTCTTGCGTCCTAATACTTATATACTGATCGGGTAATATACTCGTATTTTGTATACTAATTCACGGTAAAATTAAAAACAATAATACTATATAAATAATTTTCATAATTCAGCGAAATCCTGAATTGTACGTCATAATTATGACGTTTAGTCAGATTTGCCAACAATAATGAAAAATAAATATTGCAAAATTGATAAAATTTCAGCCAAAATAATTATATTCAAGTGTATTTTTATTTTATGGTAAGTTACCCTAGCATAATCCAGAATCTGAATTTTACTTTCTTTATTTTATCATCCATTATAGTTATAGAATAACGAAAATATTTTTAAGAAAAAAACAAATTATAGAAAAAAAAGAAAATTTAATTTTCACAATAGGTGGTGTTGCGGAACCTTATTAGATACATTGATTTTTTCTTGAAAATATTTAAGTATACATTTTAAAATTATTAATATGGAAAGAAACAATTATTGATATGTAATACAGTAATTAATGGTAAAAAAAAAAATAAATAAATAATTTAGATATATTTAATTGGAGTGTTCATGGGAAGTAGCCCCTTAGGGTAGGCCATTATAGGTCACCCTATACTTTGAGGTATTATCCCATCGCATTTTATTTTAATCTTTTACACCTTTCCTGTTTTGATTGAGTCTCTCAGTAAAAAATTAAAAATAATACGTAAGTGTCAGTATTTCTTATGGGACAATCTTTAACATATTTGGTCGTGTAGCGTTCACATATATTTAAATATGACAAGTTAAATTTTAATACCATTAATATATAGAAAAAAAAATTTAAAAAAAATAAATAATAAACAAAAAAAAAAAATTAATTACATCCCCTCTACAATATTTTAAAATTATTTCACTAAAAATAAATTTATTATGATAAATATTAGTATATATTAATTATAATATATTTTTTTTTGTATTATAACTATTTTTAATAACATCGATGAAAAAATTTATTTTTTAATTCTATATTGATTTGTACAAATGCATTTAAATAATAAATTGACCAATTTTAACTACAATGCAATAAATTATGATATATTATGGATAATGTTCAGCTCAATTCATTTATTTAATAATACACATAGTAATACCAATAATTGTAGATATATTACATTTTTTCGTATTATTTTAAATAGTGTAATTTAACTATCAACTTTATAATAGCATACAATTAAAACGGGTAAAATATTTTGATTTTGGTATCTGTTATTGGAACGCAATTGACGGTCTCGGGTACTTTGTAGTTGAAAAATTATTCATATAGAATTTTCATCCATTTATAGATGACAGATATTTTTTTTTAAATACATTTGTATTATCATATGTTATTTTTGGCTAAACAGTACCTCTAACGTCTATGTTTACTTATGACTTATTAATTTTTATATAAAAGTTAATTTGGAAGAAATGTTTTATTGGAGGAAAAAAATTATACAGTATTTATTGTAAACAACAAAAGTGTATAGATAGGTAAAGCAACGTCCCGTGGCCACTCAGCTAATTGAAATATGCAAACAATAGGACACCACGATACCGTGAGTTTGACAATGCAATTTTTTTATATTTATTTTCTAAGGTTAACCACGTTTTATCGTTTTTTTTTCTTATTTACGTTTAACTAACTGAACGGTTGTAATTTGTAAGCAGTATCGACAGATTATTTTTTACGACGACGACTTCACAATAATATGGTTTAACTATTGCGCATTTAACAACGTTATGTGGATACGAAGGACAAGATAGGTAGGTAAAATTTGTTTTATTTTTAAATACGTTTTACGGAATTTCTTAAAATGTATACTCGTATTGAACATCACAATTGCAGGTGTTTGTGGTATTATGATTTGTTTTTGTATATTATTTTTATAAATAGCGAACAAAATGTTTAAAGGAAAATGCATATTTTATTTACTATTATTTTCTGTGTTATTATTGTTTACGAGTTAGTATATTTGTGTTAGGTATTATTATCTTACTTTCACCAACAGCCATAGTAAAAATTAAAAATATTCACGTCAAAATAGTGTTTAAACGTAAAATTTACGTGCATACCAACTGTATAATATTACATAAAGTGTATATTTTTACTTAAGTAATTAATGATAGTGGTATGTTTAGGAATATTAATTTATTAGGATAAATTTCCTAATACAATTATGTGGAGAACTTCCACTCATCCAATATTGTTGTGACTAAAGAAATTATTTGAAACTGAGGCTCCTAAATAAATATCAGCTAGTGAGTCAAGAAAAATATTTTCTTAAATTGATCCAAAAATGGGCTAGTATGGTGTAACAAGACTCTAATATATGTAAAAATAATTTTGTAGTAACTAATTGAATATTATAATATCACATACAAGACGTATAATACAACTTTGTACTTCCTACTTAATTTTATACTGATAATAAATTAATTTAATTAATGACTATTTTATATGTCTGTAATAACAGTAAGCAACTAAATAAAACACCAGTGATAGGACTTTACAACATTTATATAAATTAAATAAATATAATGATTATTAATGTTTATTGTTTATAATTATAATAAATAATATGAAATGTAATAAACATTTTTTTTTTCGTTTTTGAAAATTAATACTTTTACTGAAATATTCTATAAGAATAAAATTCATTAATTTACATTTTCATCGGACTTAAAGAGAAACATCAGTTTTAGACGATGTTAATAGATTTTATATACGACGAAGTAATAATTTTATTTTTTTTACTAATTTAAAATCACCTAGGTAAATATTTTTCATTGCTTAGAACGCACGTCATATAAACATGCGAGTGTGTTGTATAAAATCACGTATTAAAACAACCTGTTTTACATGACATTAAATGTTGAAGATTTTGCACCGGTCCTTGCACAACGATCTACGCAATTAATAACAGTTCAAAAATCTGTAACAAAGTCTATGTCTGCTTTGAGTTAGAACCGGATTAATAATACACGTTTCCGGAAAATACAAAAAAATTCTATTCAATAACACAACGATTACTTATTGTTTTCATTCATTTGATAATGAATATTCAAAGGGTGAATTAAATTGTAAAATATAATATCTGAAATAGATTATTGATCGATACTGTTTAATAGATACTCGAAAAAAAAAATGATTTGGATACCAATACTCAAAATATTTTACAACACCAAATAGGCGCGTATACGGATTTTGTGACAAACCTCGTGAGTGGTGAAAAATTTTGACTCCATCAGCATGTCTCGGATTGCTCTCAGCCGGGCGATGTACTTGGGCTACAATACATAATGTGCGCAAAACGCGCAACTATTAAAGATAACATTCTATTGAGTGTACTAGGAATACGGATATCATATTAATATAGGTAATACTTACGATAGCATGCGGAAATCCGGCGACGAAATCTCGAAACGCTTCGATCACCTGGTCGCGATTCTTAGTGGTCTTGAAGTCTTTGCTCGATTTGCCATCACTTTTCTTGATCCCTTCTATTCGGAAGCCCAACGTAGCTGTTGATGAAATCGTCTCTCTCCAAACCATGTATCTGTAAACGAAAATAAGCGGATGATAAGAAATCGAAGCCATTACATTTAGATTATATTGATGGTGGCATCGTCATATTAATACAAACCATAGGTAATCTGAACTCATTTTTTTAACCTATTATGTACGTTAGAATTGTTATAATGAATTATTTATGATTCATGTTAGATGACGATTATTGTTTTGTGAAGAAATTAATAATAAGTAAATAATTTTCTTTGCTAGTTTATTTGTTTCTATGTGTTTATTATAAGCGATTTTTTTTTTTTATCTTTTTGATAAAATTATTGTTAATAAAATAAATAGTATTATTAATTTAATTTTGTTAAGAATTCCTATAAATTTATTAATACTTATACTCACTATAAATTAATTAATATTACCGTTTGTTACTATATTTAATATAGATACACATTACTTTTTGCAATTCCGTCGAGAATATAATATATAATTATCAACTATATCGCAATATGAAAAAAGATGATTATCATTAGAAATAAAAGTAGATATCGTCACAGGGTACTCCTTAAATAGGTGGGTATATACATTTTGAAGATTGCAAAAATCAGAATTTGAATAAATCAACTATCAAAGAAAAATGGGAATAAACATATAAGTATATGCGTATTCACCTCATAAGTTATTAATTTATTATGTAATTAACTTAACCTATACATATTATATTGGTGAATAAAGTGAACTTTGATACTTCAGTGTTGTAAATAAAGGTACCTACGTAACAAATATTATATATTATAATAATTACAAGATACTGATGTATGAATATTTTATTTACACGCGGTTAAGAGGCGTAATACACCTTATGGTTAAATACCCACATACACGTTTGCATTGTTGCGCCGGAAGACAGGCTATAAAAGCAGTAGGAAGACATTCGGATATATTCATATATTCGGTCGATAATACCTATGCAATATAATCATCTGTACGGAGATTTTCGAGCAATATGTAGGCTATATGTATTTTAATCAGAGTAGATTTTCCTGGCACCACATTTTTGAAAATTAAAATTTTTTTTTTGTACTAATCACTTCAAAAATTTTAGTACCAAATTTTACATGAAAAAAAAATTGGGTTTCATTTACGGGTGTTAAAAAAAACCATTTTTAAGCTCTTGGATTTATACCATTTGCGGAAATTCATCAGTCATCATATAGGTACAAATTATGTGTGACAAAATTAATGGTGTGAAAAAAATATGGAAAAGTTCAATTATTGATGTAACTCCGAGAGTTGAAAAAGATTTCTCTAGTATCCATAAAAGAAAACGATTTTCCCTCAGAAATTTTTTTAGAAATCCTAATATGAGTGATACAAATGATGGTACAATCGGTACAATTAATGATGTACGAAATACATGACATTTTGAACATTGTAGTTCCAAGGAGATCTACTATATAATAACGACTTTGAGTACACGACTCAATTATTTGCATTTACAATTACTCTCTAACAAGTCTAATATTTATAACGTGATGTTATTCGAGTAGTCAAATAAAATACAACATGTGTTATGATGCTCACATTATTAAAAACAAGTATAATGCATATGCATCATTATGTATTATTATGTATATCATATCGTGCTGTACATAATATTATACAGTGAATTATATTATTATTACCATCATTTTTTATAATTTATGACTGTATAATGAAAAATAAAATACAAATAATCAGTAGAAAAATTTGAATAATATTGAACAAAATATGTTAAATATAATTTTTATGATTAATAATAAACTATCAACATGTAATATTATGTAACGTTACCAAATAATTATAATAATAAAGTTTATAATTATTTAGGATATTATTATTTAACCTATAACAATTTGACATTTATTATAATTCTAATTCAATGTTGTCATTTTTTTTTTAAACTTTATAAAAATGAAAAATTCAAAGTTGATTCTTTTATGTTAACAATAGTTAATATTTTCCAATATATTATTTTATTGCTGTTTTAGTTATAAAATATATTAAGTTAGTCACAGTAACAATTAATTAGTTTTTTTTTTTTTGTAATTTAACTAATTTTCATGATATGGATATTTTATAAGTACACCTACTATGCGATCGAATACTTATATGTTATAATTATCATTAGGTATTATTATTTTTTATTAATTTTTTTCGGTAGCCGTCACAGCAACACATCGTCGTCATCTGTGGAAGTAGGTACCTAGGTTTAATTAACAGTAAATAATATTAAACACGATGGCTACAATAACACACACTTGTACAAATAAGGTGAGATAAAATATCGGTAGTAATAATAATAATATGTTACATGTTTATATAAAAGGTATACATCAAACGTAATTTCATATTTATGTACGTTTATAGTGCGACGTCTATATCACGTGATTAGTATGCGCTCGCACTCGAACTGCATAATATACAGAGTGATTCATCGAGCATGCTTGCCTCCTTTTATTTATAATTAATATTAATTTATTAAAATTTTTATTTTTGAAATTTGAAAGTGTATTTAATGATTTTATCTTTAATTTACTATTTGGATTTTATATACCATTTAAGGAGTGTCATATAGTAATACCATTTTTTCTTCAAATGAGAATCACATTTTTTATCCGTAAACGTTTAAGCAAATGAATCCAAATCAATATTGAAATGAGTAATAATGAAGTTGTATAACTTTTTGTAGAATATTAAAGATATTAGGTTTAGAGGCTACGATGATTTAAAAATTATAAAAATTAATATTAATCTATCAACATTTTATATTTTGTACAACATTTTAACTAAGTATAATATGTACAAGATTAAATATATATATGACAGTTTGGTATATTTTATAGTTTTGTAAAAGCATTATTTAGGACTATTCTTAGTCTATAAGCTACTCTTTCGAAATACATCAACATTAAAAAAAAGGTGGGTTTTAATTTGAAAAAATAAGCTTGTATCACTACAATAATATGGTTTAAAGAGGTCGAAGTATTTTAAAATGTGGTCCTAGAGTATGCTTGAAAATTTCAAAATTTAGGATTTGAGTTAAGCAAATGAGGTGAGCATGCTTAGTGATTCACTCTGTATAAATCGAGATTATACTACCTATATTTAAACAGTCAACGACGGAGGAAAAAATAAACGTCATAATATTATTATTCTATTAAAATATTACGATTAAATACAGTAATTAGGTAACGACATATTTTGTATTATTGTATTTTTTATTTGAGATGCTATTGCATCTAAGCTGTAGTCTGTTATCATTGTCGTTCTTGATTGCACAAATACATACATAAATATTAAATACTATTGTAATTTATAACGTCATTTCGAAAATAAAATAGTTATTAGTACTCTTCTATTTGCATCGTTTATGCCGAATAATTTCTCTTCAAGAATAAATAGGTATGAAAACACCATTCTACGACACTTACTATTTGTTTCATAGAATATCAAGTATCTAACGGAAAATGTTGTTATATCGAATTCAAGTGCTGGAATTGAATATTTAAAATTTTTGGTTATTGAAAATTGGATTTTGAATAATTTATTTGTATGTTATGCGTATTTTATTTTTGACAATTGAAATTACATCTTTTTAGCATAATGTGAAAAAAAAATACCCATAAGTGATCTACTCGTAATAAACGATGTATGATGTAAAAGCAATTTACAATAGAAAATATTAATAATAAAATTGATAAATCAGATATATCTGTATATAAAATATAAATAATGTTTTGAGAGGTAACTGAAATCTTTGGAGAAAATTTATCTGAAATCACATGCATCAACATTTAGTTGTATACTTGTATGTTACTAAAAATTAAAAAAAACATTTAAGGAAGTTTGAATTAAAATTTAAAATTGTAGGTATTCATTAACTGATTTATTATTAGGCTTTTTTAATAGTTTCTTTTCGATTTTTATAGAGAAGATGATATCGGATATGCAGATTGTCCCATATAAGATTATATCTTATATTTTTAATCCGGTAAATTCGTGCTTAAAGATTACGCGGAAACCTAAAATATTATGATCGATATTTTAAGTCAAACGGTATTGAACAGAAACTAACGAAGACGATGTACAAAATAATATAATAACCATACTATAAGCAGGCTCCATTAAACAATGCTGTATATATCACTTATTAATACCTATATAAGGTAATATTATCAGAGTAAACAGCGATTTCACATTAATATTATACCTAATAATTAATATAATATATTATTAATAAGTTACTGAATATTTTTATTGTCCGATAATGATATATATATAGGTACGTATGCGGTATACGTACAAGTATTTTTTATACCTTATGGTGATTACGTAATACGCATTAGAAATTAGAAATATTGTTAGATGACGTTATTGCGTTATACAGTTAAGCTACGGCTAGATAATATAATTAAAAATAAATAATTGATCTATATTATTTAACTGACAATACTTGTTTTTCAAATGAATTGTTGTGTTTAAAAACAATTTTCTTATAAATACAGTTGTAAGTATTTATTAAAAAATAGACTTTAGTATAATAAATTGGTAATTAAATTCTTACAAAAATATTTTAATTTTAACATTATTTTTTTTCTATCATTTTTAAGGTTCGATTCAAATAATTTTTAAAGGACTACTTATGTAAACATTTTTAATTTTGATGTTAAAATAATTTGCGTCATATGTATCATAATCAACTAGAAATACCAAATCGGTATGACCACAGGTAAATATAAATTCATCAACAATTTTGGATACAGATATGGATATCTTTATGTGAGCATAACTCTTTGAACTTCTGTAAGCTATGTTTTAAGATAATATACGACGTGCAGTTTTCGAAAAATACAAAAATTTGCGGGTAATTAAAACATATATTTTGCGCTTAATTTTATTACGGCAATAATTAAATACAACATAATATTATATGAGTGTATATTATGTTTATTACAATAATTTAGACCACAGGTGGCTGACTTGTGGTTCTCATCATTATCAAACGCAGCTCGTGTTTTATTTACGAAATCAAAATATATTTAAAATTATTATGAATTTTAAGTTTTTAGTTATTAGCTAAAAAAAAAAAAAAATTATCAAATTACATAAAATGTGTTAATAGTTCTTGATATCATTGTATTTATCTATGTGGCCCGTGAACCTATTCACGTTGGCCACCCCCGATATAGACTAAAGCAGTGTGGCGCACGCGTAATTGTTATACATGCGCGCGAGCCAGCAATTGAAACGAATATTGCTATATTTGCATTTTAATACAGTCGAATTCGCTTATAGCGAAGCCGTATAGGTACCTATGAAGATATTCCGGGTAAAACGATTCCATGCAATGTATTTGGTTGGTTTTATATCTCATGTGCAGTTACTTTTTATAATCCAGATATAACGAAGATCGGTTTATAACGATCAGATTCTCTAGGTCCCTCGAAGATCGTTATAAGCGAATTTGACTGTATTATACATCACATTATCATTATAATTGTGCACGACGAGTTTTTCTCGATCAAAAGAAAAGTGTTAGAAATCATTCTTCTCGGTGACGGCGCAACCGGCCTCGTATATTATATTATAAAATATATATTATTATATTACACGCAAACTCGTTCGGCTACTATAAATTACGATATAATTATAACCGTATATATTATAAGACTCGCGAACTTCTAGATTTTTCGTGTGCGTGTGTTTGAGAGAATCGCATATTTTGTACACACACGCGAAACATATAATATATTACAATACATTTAGTTTTATATAACAATACATAACGATATAGTTCAATTTTAGCCATATAGATATAGGTAGATTATATTAATTATTATTAATTATGAATTGCAAAAAAAGATTTTTGAAAACAAGTATGTTTGTCGGTAATTTTCTTACCTCGGTTTTGTCACACCCTTCAATCGATGTTCCTCTTCTGTCGGCGCGTTCGGGTCAATCTGAATCATTTTTTCGTACATGTCCTAAACATTGTCACACACACACATAGATATACATTTTTAACAGTAATTATAATATATATATCATATTGACGAGCCTACGTATTAAATTAATTTAAACTGGATAATTATTTTATTAAAAAACACTTATTTTTTCAAAAAATTATTTTTCAAGCTTTTTTTTTAATGACCTTCTTATATATTTATGATTCCTTATTTCAAAACAGAACAGTATAATAAAGTAGTACGATTTAAATGAATCAAATTTCAGACAAGACCATACTCGTTTGAAATATAACAAAAATAATTTGAATAATATTTTGTTTTAGAATATGAAATTAAATATTAAATCGTCATTAAAAAAATTAAAAGACTTAAATGTTAACAATAAAAAATAATGCTAAGTTGCTTGTAATTACTTTTCTCAATTTAGGTTTTTCTTTGGCTTTCGCTAGTTCCTCTTCCAGGTACGTTCTGACGCCAATCTTGCAATCCATGACACACGGTGAAGTAAAGTCACCCAATAAGTCTTCCAGCTGAAGATATACTGTAATTTGGGAGTGAAGGAAAAAATACATTATTCATACTATTACCATTATCATAATCATATCATTGTTTTATTATGATCTATCGTGGCTCATAAATACGAAAATACGAGCATAATCGTACTACTCGTAATTATATTAATATACATAAGTAATTGTTGCATTTATTTTAATTACCTCCTTAAAAATTATATATATATATATATATATATATATATATAATGTAGATTATTATAATGCAGTTTATACAATGATGAAAGATTAACGACAGACCATTGCGTATTTGCGTTTGATCGTCGATTATAATGGGCTGTCTAATGACGTACGTGAAGTTGACATTCCGACTTTGTCTGATCGGCTCCAAATTGGCATCATTTTTTACAATAATAAGTTTAAACGATTTGCAGTGTTGATAACAAAATGTACAATACATTTTTTATGGCACCTTAGATAAACGTGGGGGGTCAGTACTTTGTCTAATGTATACATTTTGTAATATAGGATTTTTAATCCTTTAAAACTGTATATGTTTACATACGTGGATTACCTATTCTCGTGACGTGTATTCCGATACACCAGAAATTTAGAATTTCGTCATCGTTGTTGTCACCGCTATGTGTAATATACATTTAAATAAATATTCTCCGACCACGCGAATACGCGTTATAGGTATCTAATTACGCATTTACATTATTATTATATTATATAATATTGTCGGAGTCCAATGTTACAAACTGGGTGGCACAATCAATAAATATATTTTTTTTAATTTTTTTGGTGCGCTTGTGTTACTATATCTTTTAGTTAATATTTTAGTCATTTTAACACTTTGTTGCATGACAAATAGATAATATTATAATTACATTTTAAGACATTCAATGTAATTGGTGGTAAAGGTACCTACTAATTGGCTATAAACAATATGGTAACAATATTAATACTTTATTATATTCTTATGTAGTAAATACAAAATAATACATTAAGCTAACTCACTTCAGTTTTTAAAATAATTTAAAATAAATAACGGAATTTTCCATTTTTTAAGCTATCCTGTCATATTTTTTTATTATAATTATAATTTATGATTTGTCTACAGATTTATACTACGTAAGTGATTGAGATTAATTGAACGATGATTAAAAATGACAAATGATTCATTAGGTTAGTTGAGTGATCGAGATCTGTTTTTGTAGTATCGGTCCAATCCTTGTGACAGATACAAAATGCGGAAAAAATTTAATCTGTTTATTTCTACGCAAACATGCATATTAGGCTTCGCGGTTGAATAAGAATATCATCGAAGTGTAAAATAGAACTATCGTCAAGGCTTGAGTAAAATAAATATGATTAAAACTGGATTAAAACATTTCATAATATTATAATAGGTAATTAAAACAACCGTAAATGCGGGTACGCGATGACGCTCAGACGCCACCACACTATATTATAATATTTATGTTTTCTCATCGTTGTACGATAACAAATTATGAAATCGAAATCGAACGTCAAGGTTACACAGAATATAATATCAAAGTTATACATTTAGTATTTAAAATACTGTTTAACGTGAAAAAGTCATGACAATATTATATGTCCAGAGTTACCTATGTAAACATACCTTATTGCGTATACTGAAGTACGTTAATAAAAAAAGGAAAATTTTCGTGGAAAACTATTATTTGATATTTTGTGTAGCATCAGCCCAAACTTCAAATTAAATTGTGTAGAAGATTGCGTTTATAAAATATAGTGAGCTATTTGACATTTTCTCCAATGTATGGAAAAAAATAATAAATCATAGATATTTTATGTTGGCAATGGGCCTTCAGACGTTTAGAATTCGAAGTCATTATAATAAATTTTAAATAATTATATTAATAACGATGAGCTTTAATATAATTTATAATGGTGTAAAAAAAAATTTGAATAAATGAAATTGAAACATTTATACGATTAAAAAAAATTGTATCTACGAGGTTCTTATAGTAACATAATTATATATTATTATGTATTGTTTGCTAAGGGTATCCAAAGTACTGTAACGTGAAATGTACGACACGAAATTTGTCAGAAAAAAAATCTATTAAGCATACGCATACAAAGTATGATCTGAATTCAGTGGAGATTTGCGATAGTTAGATGATCAGTAAATTCAACTAAAATAATAATAATAAAATAAACAATTATATGAAAGCGATCGATTATTTATAATATCTTTTTCGAGTAATAAATTTAAAAAAAAATGTACATGTAATCGAAAATACGCGTGGGTTTAATTAAATTTATTTCAGATAAATCAAATTGTTAACGAAATGGTCAAATGGTAAGTATTTAAAATTTCAATACAAATTAACTAATAAACAAAAATAATAAAATTGTCCAAAAATATTTGCAATATTTTTCGTACTTCAATGAATAATGATAAAAAATGGATATTTCATATTATCATAAGTCATAACTGTTTCTTATTAAAGCCCACACATCTATTGTGATGGTTATATTATGTTCTGTTAGATTAAATTAAATCAGGAGTTGAAATAAATTTTAAATATCGATAAAAATCTACTAAGAAATCAAAATCAATTTTTTTTATGATATTCATTCAAATTTAAATTAAAATAGCATTTTTTTTACAAATTAATCACAAATTAAAAAAAAAAAAAGTAATTTAAGTTTAAGAATTGGCTTAATAGTGAAATAAAATTATTCATAACTAGGGATAGGATTTATATGCAACAGTATATATTATCTTTTTGCAACTTCTGATTATTACTTTTGTCAATAATGTCCACAAATCACCTCATAATAAAATAAATAGTGGTGTTTTTATTTTGCATATATTGGACAAAATTCAGATTATTGTAAATTTTGAGTATAAAAACGCAAAAAATGCATGTTTTATGGTATATTTTATTACTAGACGTTTTTATCGTGGACAGTATGTATTCAGCATTGACGGTATTCAAAAATACCTATATAATAACATATTAAAATCTAAAAGAATATCGGTTAGTTTTGAACATTTTTAATACTATGTAATTGTTTTGTATAATACATTTGAATAGCATGAATAGTAAAGAATATTATTTTATTAACTTTAAAACGTATTAAATTTTTTTTAAGTAGGTATATTTCATATTTTTTATCAAATTTTATATTAATTGCATATCTTTGCATATTTTTAATAAACCAAATGCATATTTTACAATATTTTTTTTGTATATAAATCCTATTTCTAGTCATAATGCTATCTAGCTGATCGTCCTATTTTACACAAGCAGAGTATATTATATTACAGCGAAAACAGTTTTTGTACTTCCACACTGTTGAAATTATAAGGTAGAAAACGATTTAACCAGTGCTTTGTCAAAGGTTATTTGAAATTTAATATATTAGAAATTCATTGCTGTGTTTTTAAAATACAAATATTTTCTTCAAATAATTGCTGTTACAAAATACTATAACAGTATATTTTAAAGAAAACATATCAATATTTAAAAACTATCTCTTTAACCAAACCACTCCGTCACAGGTTTGTACAAGAGTTAAACACTTAAGTCCTAAATTTAAAATTGTGTATTTTATAGCTGAATAATTACGTCTAATAACACGCCTGATATTTATTTTTACTAACTTGGGTGTTATTTTTCATACTCAATTCAGTTATTTTTTGGATAAAACTATTAGACAATTTGGGTACATGGGGTTCAATTATAGTAATACAGTGAATACAGTCTGTCGAAACATAATAAATTGTTGATATAATATTATAATGACAAGTTATATACTTAGGTTATATAGTTTTACATAGGAAACTTGAGTGACACATAGCTAAAATCTATAATCTAAAAGCTACGTGTTCTGACAAGATATAGTCAACGTAAGAAATATAGATTAAAAATCGGCTGAGGTGATAAATTATATTTTATTATTGCGATGACAACGCATATATATCATTATATCATCGGTTTACGCATCCTTATCGTATCAGACTAGGTGCGGATGTGGGCGCGCACGTCCGTCAAACTGGATGCAAGGAAAAACGACCATATTTCAACGAATACATTTCTAACGATTAATAATAATCATTAATAACATAATTCGTCGCTGCCTGCACCATTGGTTTAAAAAAATAGTATTTAATTCAATTATATAGTATACAGAGTAGGTCATGGACTTATGATAGGGCTGACCCAGTGTTTGATGTGTATAACTATGTATGTGTGTGAGTATGCATGTGCGTGCGTAAAGACATAAAAAAACTCGGTCTGACAAAGATCACTACTCAACATTTGTTCTACAGTATAATAATTGGTATTTAAATTATGTATTTTATATTTTTGTTTAGTTATCGAATGTTTAAAAAGAAAAAAAAGAAATGCAGTTTAAAAAAGAATAGTATTATTATAATATACCCATTAAGCAGCTACGACTACGTTACAATGAGCTTATTGTATTTGCGTGTGTGTAAACTTAACGTACGCAATAAATATATAGATACTAGCTTTTTTAACTGGAATTCGGAAGTCACAGCAGCATTCATTAGTGGTTTTAATGTACATTCTCTTATGAATATGAAAACGCTCGAATACAATATATTATTATTATTATAATGCGTTACACGTGATAAGCGACAATAATTAACCAATAATTTAAAATCTTAATTATTTTATCGCATTGAAAGCCGTAAAGTATATTACAATATTATGATTTTCGTACTTGAATTATTAAAAGTGAGTTCAAAATTAATTTATACTTTACTTGGACAGCAATAATTGGCAATTGCCTAAGATTTAGTGTTATGCACTATAATATAGAAATGTTATAATAGTTGATTTTTATTTAAAAAAAAAAAAAAGGATACGGTCTCCGTCATCGGTGGTCAAGTGGCCCTTATACTCGGGCACGTACGGTCTAAGCACATCCTTCATTAGCACTTGGAAGCACAACTGTTCCTTAGGACATAATTTCTTGAGAATTGTACCAGGTTCCGGTCCGGCTTTAAAATTACCTGCGAAAGCGATAAAAATATATTAATCATATTTTAATTTATGTATAGGTACGATATTCATAAAATGAATCAATATAATATATATAAACATATATAGGAAATAGTATTTTAATAATGCTTTACTTATGCGTTATGCTAATAGACTGTATTCTAGAGTATATATACCTATTATGAAATTTAAAAATAAAAGATTTTCGATCAATTCGATTTTATTTAAAATATAAAATTAAATTACAATACAGGGGAATGATCTAACACGTGATCGTTACTACTAAGTCTAATATATATATATATATATTTATGTGGCTAATAACAAATTTATGCTCATTGTATAAATCGTCATTCAAATAAAATAAAATATTTATTAATCATTTAAAAAAAAAAAAGAAAGAAACAGAGCAAACTATTATCTAATATCTTATTTGATTTATAAATCATCATTAATGTGTTATACCAAACGTAAGTTACTATATATTTACATATGTAATAATCAATAATATAATATGTATACTAAAATTATGATTTATGAACTTATCTTAACATCCAAAAGTTTAAGAGATTTGAACAATTCAAAGTTTGTTGTTAATTAATACACAAAATCAAATACTTTTAATTCGGGAATTTCGAACAGTCGAGAAAAATCAAGTACGTTATCAATAATATTATACACATAATTTATTTCTTATAAAATATAAATAGCTGTTCTCTAAAACACTATTATTATTTTTTATATGACCTTAATTAGTTTTAACAATTTTTTAACCATGAAGTTATCTGGTTTAAATTCAAAATGTTTGAGAAGTTCAAAAAAAGTTTAAATAAAAATGGATTTAAGTTCAATTTCAAATAATCGGAAAAAAACAAAACTTTTAGTAAATTCAAGTTAGAGATCTTGAAAATTGAAGTTTGACCTATCCTTAGTTGAAATTATTGTCAAAAATAAGTTAGGTTACAAATATGAGATACAACTATACTGCACATTAGAATAGATCATTTGGGCGCAGTGAATTCCTATGTGGAATTAAATTAGAAAATATCGATCGACGATTAATGTATCTAGTCATGTATGTAATGTATGTAAGTTGTTAACTGTTGCATACAATTACAATAATAAGTAATAACGATTTTCATACACGATTGCTGCGGTGCGCCTTCGAACCGATTAGTAATGCTATACGTGTAACGATAGATTATAGCATGTTATATTCCAAAACGATTTACGTAAATAATAATTGTACGTCACTATGAGTGACTTGTTCGTTTCCGCCCATATGTAGATACATACAGAGTGATATATCCACCATACTTATCGATCTTTTTTATTCAATAATGTAGCTAATCAATTCGGGTTTTTGAAAATTTTTAAATGTAAAAAATTTAATATCATATTTTCAAATTCTTATGATTTTATTACTAATTAAAAAACGTCTTGAGAAGATAAAAACTTTTATTTTTCAAATGAGCACTTCCTTTTTTACTGTGAGTCATTAGGTGAAATTATTTTCTATAAATGTTGACGTATAAAAATCAAAATCGAATAAAATAGTTTTTAAATTATTTAATTGTGTACTCAGGATAATATGGCCTTGATGATGGTTGTTAAAATATGAGGAAAATAAAGAGTTGAACATTTTAATAAGACGTGCTATTCATCTATTAAAATTTATAATTTCTAAAAATGGCTCCAGTGTAATAAATACTGGATCCAATATTATATCTATCTTATATTTCTGTTAAACTATTTTTAAGACAACTACTGTTACTATAAACATTTTAAAAACTAGAATAATACTCGTTTGAATTTTGAATTAATTAGATATTTCATAAAAATGTTCAAAACAATTATATATTTAATAATTTATAGTAAAAAATAGAGGGGGAGGCAGTTGTTTTTATTAATTAAACAGAAGTTTGTATATCACCACAAGACACTTCTTAATTAGTACAAAAATTTCAAGAATTCGAAAACATAGTTTTTAATTGTTATGCATATTTAAAAATTCCAAAAATCCAAATTTTAATAAATTTATGATTAAATAAAAAAATGGAAGCTAAAATGTATCGTAAATCATACTGTATATTAAATATTAAACTTTTCTTATGATGACACATATGTTTGATCAAATCAAATTACGATGCTTCATCCATACTTTAACTATTAAACATATATTTAAGTACAGTATTTTTTCGTTACTGTGAATCATGATGACAATTTTGTTCGGGAAATGAAAATTGATTTAAAGAAATTAAAAATGTAATTTCAAAAAGTAATTTTGATAGGATATTATGTAAAAAAATATTTTCAAAAATATTAATATATTTCGAAATAAAGAGTTTGGTTTGATTGAATAATCACTCTGTATATTAATATTATATATTATTATTGTTAACTTATAAGTTAATGTTCATTAATATTGACTTAATGTTGTAAATAGGTTTGTACTACAAATCGGTAATACTTTAAAATAAATATAATAAAGTTAAATAATTTCTAATTCATAGTCGAATTCCAACGGAGAAAAAATATACTAGTAATCGTAAGTAACCAATGTAATGTTTATTTATTATATATTCAAAAACGAACACAAATAGACTATAGTGCATTCACTTTTTGAAAGTATGTGGATGTAAACTCTAAATAATCCGTTTTAATATTTTCGATTTATCAATGTTCTATAATATATTAAGCAAATATTATTAAATCCAATATTTAATTTTAAATTATAGTATGCATATTGTAATATTATTAATATTTTCATATGGTTTTTTTTCAGTGATTAGATTATATGTTTTGTAAATCATCGTTTTATTGAACTATATATTATATTTTGAACACATGTAGCTGAAGGTAGTGTTTTTACAAATTCAGGTCATCATCGTTGTTTTCATGTCGTTTTTTATTATTATTATATATATATTATATGTAACATATTATATGCGTTTTACCGTTTTGTAGTTGTATTTACGTGGTGGTTTATACAACTTGTATATGATATCGATTCGCAGGATATACATGACGATTTTCTGTCAATGGTGAAAATTTACCGACGTGTATGAGAATAATAATAATTTTTTTTTTTGAATAGGTATTATATTAGTATTATAAAGAAGTTATATCAAATATCACATAAATATAGCTATATGAGATAGTAAGCTACAGTGCAGATAATGGTTGATTTCGATCAGTTTCAACGTTATTTAAGCTGAGTATAGAATAGTTTGTCCATTTTGTTCCTGTAAAAAAAGTATATGCAAACATTTTGTCTCAGAAAAATTATAACAAGATATTTGATCTCCAGGAGTTAAGATCTTCAAGTTATTTAGTATGCATATAACAACAATATGGACACCGAACTTTTAAAATGATCATAACTTATTACAAAAGTAACATAGACTTAAAATGTATATAGATTCAATGACAGTCTATTTATCACATTTATTTTAATATATATGGATTTTTTTTGTTGTAATTTATTTGTAAAAATTGTGTTTGTTTTTTGATATTGATATTATTCGAAATAATATTATGGTATGATGTTTAGTTTTAATTTAAAAAAAAGAAAATATTTTTAAAGAAAATTTGTAATTTTCAGAAAACAATCAACTTATTTGTGACGACTGGTGACAAAATTAAATCTATCAAGTATATATTTATCAGATATATATTTAATCTATTATTTTCTCGCTGGTGTACATGTCAATACGTTATTATAGTATTATATATCACGTACTTTTAATTTATACCACCACTTTTAACAATGTGTCTCCACGCAAATGGTTTGTTTTTGAAATAAAACGATTTTACATTGAGCACGTTTGAATATAAATTATATTAATAAACGCTACGCGAAGAAAAAAAATACCTATAGTGTATACACTATAGCAATAAGACATTTATTACGATTTTAGTATGGTTAAAACCTTTAATGAGTTTAGTAAACATATTATGCATCACAAATAAACTATATAATAACAATATTAGGTTTACTACGCATTATACATTTATATTACCTTTATTGGATAAGAATGGTTTATATTATAATATTTCTCAGTGACGAGTAAATAAATGAAAATAATTAACTCAAGTCAAACAAACAACAGTTATCAAATTATATATTTAGCTCGCAAATTTACAGTTAATATAGAAAATATTAATTAGTTAACTAAGTTTTAAAAAAATTTGAATCTATAATAATTAAGTGCTAATTAAGTTTGTAGATCATAATATAAAGAGTATTTTTTATATATAGGTTATCTTACTTATTATTAATTTATCAAAAAATGTAATAACAATTATATTATTATTATTATTTATTATTATTACTTTATTATTAGATTATACTTCATTCAAAACCACGTTTACAGTAATTAATAGGTAAACATTACATTTTATAAAAAATACATAGTTTTTTTAAGCATAGCAATACTTTTTTAAAATGATAGTGATATCTGTGTACTATGATACACATAAAATATATTATTCTATTGAAAGCTAACTGTCATTTAAACTTGTTTTAAGAGCTAAGACGAGTTGCACATAATGATGGCTGAAGGGGTTACATCGCATCGATTTTGGTGAACAACTAATATCATTCTGACATTATATTATTAATGCTTATTGGTAATTAATAATGGTAGTGGTTAAATATTAATCATTTATATCTACATCTTACATCGAAATATTGTGATGTGAAACTAAATAAATACTTAGATTTTAGTTGTGAAAGAAATACAAATTTTAAAAACAATTGAAAATAGCTTGTTATTTATGGAAATAGCTTAAGAATCATTTCTTTGCAGCGATTATAAGGTTAATGGAAAAAAAAATTTTTTTTTATTCTGCACTTAAGCATTCGCAGATTGAAAATCAATTAATGCCTGAAAATTTTATCGGCTCCCTTACTAGTCAACTTATAATTATCCAAAATTAAATAATTATAATTTTATCTGATATTATATATTTTATTGATAAAATAAATTATTATGTTACATTAAACATTGAACAAAACAAAAACCTAAGATATTTGATACACTGATACTTTTTTAAATATTTTGTCGCTGCATATTATGTACTTATAATGTATGTAAACAATATAATTATGATACAACTAATAAGTATATTTATCAATTTATTAAATTTGTATCTTATTTAAGCTTTGCATTTTATTTAATTTTATAAAAATAATTGCGGGGCATAACTAAGTATGCTTTGCACGATCATTGTACGCATCAACGCACCTCTATGATAATAAGGAGGCCTAAGTGATGATCACACGCGATTAACAAGCGAATAGAAAAATATACTTAAAACTACAGCATAATTTTCTAATATACTGTAATATTATTGAGATAACAATCTAATATGTATACGAAAGATACACAATAAGCTATATACTAATATAAGTAGATACAGACACGGAAGGAATAAACTAAGGGGTCATCCATAAACAACGCTTAATTTGATGAATGATAGTTTCCTTGTTTTTTATTTTTGTTTTTGAATTTAAAGTTTATTTTGTTAAAGCATTAAATATTATTATATTTGTAAAATTTTGCAGCACTATTTATTTTTTAACATGTACAGATGATTGTCTAGCAGAGTTAAGATGGAAAAATCATTTGTAGAGAGACTTAGAAGTTGTTTATGAAAGCGTTCATAAAGCGTGATTTTTCATAAATAGTTTTAATATTAAAATCATTGAGTAGAGATGCAGAGTTAATTTAAAGATCAATTTTGGAGCATCGGATATATATTTTGAAACGTTTGGATTTTGTTTGAATATCTACTAGATTTTTTTATCATGCTTAAAAACTGCAGTTTATAAGTTAATTTAGGTTCAATGAGAATTTTATAAATTAGTAGATATGTTTTTAAGAAAATTAATAAAGCATTACAAACATATTGTACAGAAAACTTAAGTTAGGTTCGTGTCTATTTCGAACGCAATTAAGAACAGTCGCATAAAAATAATATAATATATATATATTTTTAATCAATAATTTTTCAGGGTATGTCTTTTGTTGTATATGTATTTACATAAAAATGTATATACATAAATGTATATCTTTACTAGGTGTTTTTAATAAGCTATAAAACACTCGAAGAACTTAACTTTACGACCTTGAATTATTGTCATTTTTTTTTATTGTTGCGGGTTATTTTAAGATGGTTCAATGTACACGGTATTAATATTTACAACGATAAAAAGATAATAGTATTACGTGAGAATTGAATAATTATTAATAAATAATTTTTCAATCATCACGAATAATTAGTATGATCCCTCGAAGATATATTTTGTATTGTGTAAGTACCTACATAATATATAATATACCACTGTACTGTTATAGATTTTAATCAGAAATCAAATAAAACCGATGCTTGAAATTTCAAAATTATTTATTATATTATTATTATACTCACATAAAACTATGGTGAAAAATTCAAACCATATAATAGTTTATTTGAAAAACATATCTCTAACAATAAATACTATTAATTACTAATCAAACTAATTAATCATAATTCATAATAATTGTTATGAAGGTTTTAAATAGCGCGGACAAAGAATTTGTTTTATACTAAACGTAGCTAATAGTATCTATACAATGCGTAGGTAAATAATTAAAAAAAAAAAAAAAAACAATACAATTCGAACTAATAATTCAATAGAAGTAATGTATTATTAGGTATATCAGTTCCATGGTTGACTGTATTTTAGGACATAATTGTAATTTTTTTTATCGATTCTATTAAATATTTTAAGAAAGTCTTTGAGTTGGCAATTACCTGTTTATGTTTTTAAATATCATCATTAATTTAAAATAATTTTGTTTAAAATTTTATTAGATACGCATATTTAGTACTTCAATAATGACCATAATAATGTCACTATTATCGTTTAAACATGTGTTATAAAAATAAACAGGTATATATTTCAACTGTTTGAATGCGTAAATAAAAAAAACCTTATACGTAAGTGACCTCTTATATACAGAATGAATCACCGAGCATGTTCACTCTCATGTTATCCTTAATAATGAATTTTTTTAAGTTCTGATTTTTGAAATTATTTACTATTAAAAACATAACGTATACTATACTTCGACACAATTTTTTTTTTTTAATTTTTAGTGTATAAATTGAAATTTGATCGATTAATTTTTAAGAAAATTAATTTAAAAAAAGTCCGTATAATAATAGATGTACATTATACTCTGTACATTCTTTTAGAATTTGTACTATTTTATACATAAGCTGTACATAAAATACTATTTATCTGCGCCATTTATTTAAAAAAAAAATAATAATAATAATAACAAATAAATAAATTGTAAAAATTAAAAAATGTGGATTTTCCAAGATCATATGGTAGGCAGTTGGTGCTTATAGCATAATCAGTAAAATGGGAAAATGAAAATTCCTAAAAATATTATAGATTTTGACATCGATGGCAGTCATGCTGATTGTGGAATTTCATGGTGATAATATATAGAAAAAAATGTTATAAATATTTCACTTGAGAGAAAAAGAGGCTTGGACAATATTACACTTGAACTCTCATGATATTTTTATAAATAACTCGTAAATAAAGGTTGTGAAAATGTATGCTATTAATTTAATGATTCTTCGTAGTTTATATTTAAAAAAAATTATGGTATGTGAATCAGTAGAAAGTATAATGAACGTCATCGATTAAAGGCTTAAAAAATATGATAATCATATAATGATATGAAAAATATAATAATTAATCTATTATCATTCTATAATTATTAAAATTTGTACAACTATAGAAAGTATTAGATACAATTTAATACACATTTAAAGTGGAACCATAATCTTAAATTCATAACCACACAAAATTTAATATCCTGAAAATTAGGTATAGGTACTCACAATTTTTAATTTATTTATAAATTCATTGAAATTTTTAAAATAATAATTTTCTTGAAAATATATTGTAAAAAGGGCTATCGTTATTTGAAAAATGAAGTTAGTACCTAGTAATGGAAAAAAAAAATCTTATTAAAAAATATGATTTTTAAGTATACATATGTTCATATGTACTTAAAATTTCAAATTCAAAAAATTAGTATTTTAATAAATTATTGAAGGTAAGCACTCTTTGTGAATCATCTTATAAACATCATTAAAGTCAATTTGAAACGCAATTTAAGTAATATGAATCAACGCATTATAATTCATATGCATAGAAATATAAATCAACTACTACTTTTGATATTTTGTTGAGTGACAACAACTTTATACTAGGTACTATCCACCGTATTTATTGGTACCAATATATTCGAATCCAACTTCCAATCGCGGTTGTGTCTTGTGTACCATGGTTATTAAAACTGGAATTTTATGAAAACTTCCATAATAACAAATATTAATTATTAAATAATAATATCACACTGAGTTGGTTTATACGAAAACACGAATAATGATGAAATTTTCGAATTAAACACGATGGCAAATTGTTGTAGTACAGTGGATGTATTTCTATATATAAATAGTAATAACATAATACATATGTTTTATATAACACAGTGGCTAAATTGGTCAATTAATTTGATAATTTTGTATAATATTAATTTCTTATATTACTATTACAGAACCGTGCGTATACTACATAGATAATATAATATACGTGTGTGAGTTAAATCAATTTTTTTTTTAAAATTTTTAAATACCGAAATCGGTTTTTAATAACTATATAATTATATACGTTAAAAACTAGTTCGCTTAATTTTTTTTTTTTAAATTTTGATAAAATTTTGTTAGTAAATTACTGAATATTAAAAAAGTCTAAAAGTAGTAATATAATACGAGTATTTAATAATCGTGATTAACGGCATGTTGCATCATGACCAAAGCGTACGCACAAACAAGATTTTCAAAAAAAAAATTCGATACGTGTTGGTACGTTTGCTAGTATATTTCACATACAACTTTTTGAATGGATATTATTGAACTGTTACATATCCATACTCAATTTTTTTTTTTTTTAAATCTTGATTATTAATTTGCTTATGCGAATATTTGGTTTTTGAGAACAATATTATAATATTTACAGACGTGACACGACTATGCCTAGCTAACCTGATAATTAGGTTTGATCAAAAATAGAATATGATTTAACATAAATGAATGTACCTTGGTGTCCAGCTAGCTGTACCCACGGATACCTCTGTTTTTTGTAAGTCTGAAAGAACGGCGTCCACTGAACAATGTTTCTTAACTTTCGCCATCCGGAATGCTAAACGGAAAAAATTATAATTAATAAAAATATATTTTATCAATGAAACATAACTGTGCATATACAAATTATGTGTATAAGATTAAAGTAAATAATATAGATCTATGTAATAATTATAATATATATTTATATAAATATATTAATATATATTTACACAGTATACTTTTTTATATACTTTATATACTTCGCTTTATTTATAGGATCATTTAAAATAACTGAATGTTGAGATTAACATTATATTTTATAATCTAACTATGATGTATAGTTCGTTTTAAATTTTAAGTGGTAGTTGTAGCTTTATCACTATGTTTAGAAAAGTTCAAACCCACTTGGTAACTTTTTAACGGTGAATTTTTCAACTCAATCGGTCACTATTTACTTACTTTGTTCAAAATTATTAAAAACGAACTGATTGATAAAATTTTATGTAAACTTTACGTAACTATCTGATTGTATGGACCATCTTACATATTATTATTAACATAGAAGCCTATTACATACATTATACCATCATATAGGTTAGACTATTCACAAAGGTGCAATATTGCCGTTTGAAAAAAAGAAAATTTCGTTTTAATTTCGTTACACGCAATTCGAAATGTCTAAATTTATATTTAGGTAAAAGTGACTGCATAAAACTATCATAATAATAATTTTACAGTGACGTTATGCTCTAGAAATTTACATTTTAAGATAATTTTAGGTACCTATTTTATGTATTTTAAATACCATAACAAATACTATTGTACATGTAACTTCCAAGAATATTTTGGTAAATGATGTATATTATATAATTATGTATAACTTAAATTTATCGATTAATGAAACAACTAAATAATATTATAAATAGTCATTGCTACAGTTATTGTAACGAGGAAGGTGTTTTAAATTCTCCTACGCTATGACTTGATAATATCATTAATGAATGTTTATTATAATAAACAGAATACAACCGACAACACTATATAGGTATACTCACACAAATATTTATATATATATATATATATATATATATACAATTTTTTAACGTTTCCCATTAATATACTACGATAGGTAGGTACACCATTTACACAGCGCTATCGGAATGGAATATAATTTATAAAATGAAAACAAAAATTTGAAAACAGTGTGGTACAAAGCCCGGTGCGCTAATTAAAAAACTAGTAACTGGTTTCGAAACCGAAATATAAATTAATTTTTGTCGACTTGTATTTCCTACGGAACTACTGAGTACTACCTATATAATATTATACCACATGGTGTATACGTACGCCAATATAATATATTATTTATATACACATCATAATATCGAACGCTATATTATATGGACGAGATGTAGCCCACGAACGGTAAACGTATTCAAAAATCGATACGAACGATTAATTCTTTAGCACGAAATTACGGGCGGGTGGCCATCGATTAATATAATATTATAAACATATCAACGAACCGATTATTATTATTATTTTAATTTGCATCAAATTTCCGCGTCCAATATAGATTTGGTTTGGCTCCAGTATAATAAATTTTTATACAAAACCGTTGACCGATCTTAATCTCTCTCTTTCTTTTTTCCTGCTCATACACGCACATTAAGTCATAATACGTTGTGTATTGAATTCGTTATCGTAGATATTTGAAAAAAATATAGGTATTAATTTGTTGTTTATGTCAGCTAACATACGTTTCACCTAGCTTAGCTTAGAAAATTACGTTTGAGTGTAAAACTGTATCGTCCGTATGTTTCCGTGAAACATTTTATACAAAATTGTACACATATAATGGTTGGAATAGTGAGCTATTTTATTATTTATTTTGTGTGTTTTTTCTGCGCAACCATAAAAAATAAGCCACTAAGAAACAAATTTGTGTCATGTCATGTTAAAACAAAACCAAAATTAATTTTGTTGCACAGTTTTGCAAAATTATTAATTTTTTTTTTGTACAATTTACTTTAAATAACGTTTATTGAAGTGAAAATATTAGTTATATTAAATATAATTTAGTTTTTTGAAAGCTTTCACGCACTGTAGTTACTTACAGTGATTGAATACCTGAAAAAATACTCGTACCCACTAAAAGTCACTGTCTATGTATTATTTACTATAAATTTTATTTAAAACGCTATCAATTCGATTTATTTTTAATGTTTAATTATCAAGCTATTTGAAAAAAAAAATGTTCTGTTTATTTTTATAGTATATTTTAGGATTATCCAGTGTAAAATTGATGGCATGATTTTTTACGAATATAATTATGTCCTTTGCATTAATGATCCATTGATACATATTATATATAGTCACTTTGTCACGATGATTTGTATTTTTGATAAAAGAAAAGAAACATAACACGAGCGAAGGTTTTAACGATTGCTTGTTCGAATCGTCAAATCCTCCAGGCGTAATCACCGCTTTTACACGCCTAATATCGCCTAAACTACTATTGAATGACGTGCTGTTTGAATGCTTCTCAATGAATAAAATTGACTTTCAAAAAATACTTTATACACCAAAATATATGACAATGTTTAGTGTGGAAAAATAACGGAACAGTAACAACTGATGATGAAAAATTAAACATGAAATATAGTACCTATGACATTAAAAGCATTTATTTGAACAGGTTTGGGATTTACCATGCATGATCAACCTTCTCTCCACAATTATATTTCTTTTAATAATGTATTTATTCAAACTTTTTTTAGGGGAATTTTCAAGTAAATCTATAAGTCATAATTTTAAATGCTTAGATTTTTCGTACAATATTATAAATATCCTACAGTTATGATAGACATTTCTGTTTTTCAAAATAAATGAGAATCATTTTTTTTTTTAAGTATATAATTTATGATGTAATATTTATTTTATTCTATTAATTAATATATATTCAAAAACTATGAAAACGTTTACAGATTTTAAAATATTATTATATAAAAATTAATTATAATAGTTTTCATGTCATTGCATTTTTCAAATCCTTAGTACTTAATATATTTTTAATAACTAAAAAAATACTTGTTTTAATACATAAAAATGTACAAAGAATTAATTTGCTAAATAATTTACAAGAAAAATAAAAGTTTTTTATTTGAAAAAAAATGGTATTATCAAGTCTAAAGAACACTTCTCAAATACTGTAAAAATTTAAGTAATTTAAAATGATAGTTTAATATGGGTATTATAAAGTTTTATAAATTAGAATTTGTGTGTATGCATTATTTAAGAAGAAATAAGGGGTAAGTATTCTTGGTAAAGCACCCTGTATATAAAATGCATGTAATATATAATGTGAAAAAACATTTTAAGAGTCAAGTCGTCGTCGCGCGCGTTTCAATTCATTTGTGGCAGCGGAACGACGTAAAAAAAAAAACACACTCACATTCCCACGAGCATACTAATGTGGCGTGTACACGGGACCCGACTTATCCACTATTGCTAATGTATGTGTATATAACAATTTTATTTTATCTTTATTTTTCGCATGCTCGGTGTATATGAGTGTGTGTGCGTGTAGGCGTCGACGTGTGCGTATTTAATATAATGAACACTATGCATTATTTATTTGACACACAAGTCGTCGTTCCTATATTTAGATGATATGTGTACGTGTACGATATATAATATAATATAGTGTTGTACGCGATTTATACACGGTCCATCTGACATAGACGTGCACAGGTCTACATTTGCCGCCACACATGATGACAGTGTGTGGTAAAATATTTAATGTACTATGCGTTAAATATATAATATACAGAATGATTTTCCAAGTATGCTTACCCTTATTATTTTTTTTAGTACTGAAAAAATTGAATACATTTTTAATGGTTCTATTAATGGATATATAGGTTAAAATTTATGGTTTTATTTATGAAATTGTAATTTTTTTATTAAGTGCAATCATAATTACTTATTGTGTTCTTTTTAAATACAGATTAAAAGCTTTTTTAAATTTAAAAAAAATATATGTATCGAATTTATTCAAAATATGATTTTTAGAAATTTATAAATACACTTAGAAACCACATTTTAAAATTCTTAGATGTTTTTATACCTACTTATTAAGGAGTGTCCAGTATAAGTGATACAAACGTTCCTTTTTAAAATATATGATCCTCCTTTTTACTTAAGATTATTTAGTTTATTTAATTAACTTAATTCAAAATTTAAATAGTTTTTTAGTTATTAAAATGTTTATATTAAGTATCTAGTGATTATCATACTAATTATTGGACCATTTTAGAAATGGGAAATATTGATAAACATTTATTACTACAACTTTTAAATCACCTTTAAAATATTATTCATACTTGCTAGTCCATTATCATGGATCTATTACTCTTAGTATACAAAATTAAATAACTAAAAGATAATCGTTCAAATTTTATTTTAGATTTATTACTATTTTAGTAAAAATTATTTGCTAAATAGTTTACAATATAATAGAGAATTTTATATTTAAAAAAAAAAAAAGCAGAAACTAGTTATTACTATTGTTAGTATCTTCAAAATATATATCATATTAAGTAGTATAAAATAATTTCAAGAATATTAAATAATCTAAAATTAAAAAACTCAGATTTTTCATTAACTACATAATTGAAAAAAAAAAGGGATGAATTCGTGAGCGCGATTGATAAATGTTTATAGTACAATATAGGTACTTGTAGTATACACCGCCAAGAACCTCTGTCTGAAGCATTAGGTGATTATAAAATTGCTTTAATATAAAAATATAATTCCGGCCACACCTCGGAAAGAGACTTTACCCGAATTGATTTGATGGGAAAACCAATTTGCGTTTAAATTTTACGACATAATTACACTTTGATACTGCTATGTGTACTATACATGGATGTATACGAACTAAGCATTTACATGCATCATATTATAGGTACTTACATTATACATGTTAGTTTATACCAGCTTTATTGTACGTGTAATATAACGTAATCCAAATTACAGCAATAGGTGTTTCAAATAACGAGTACGCCGATTTAA